TTAATAACCGCGCCAACATTTCTGTATAAGCTGAAAAATTCAGCATATGCTAAAATCATTAAATGGTATGCTTAAATGGTTTTAAATCAAATTAGCATATGCTAAAATCATTTAAGCATACCCTTAAATGATTTTAGCATATGCTAAAATCGATAATTATGACCCTGATTCCTCACCATATCTTGTGCTTAGAGAAAAAAAATATGTTGACATGTTGATACGAGGGTCACTGATGAGTTTTTTGTAGACAAACGCGTCATGCGTACCAAATATAAGCCTGGTATATTGTATGTGTATTTTTAAAACTATTAATTTCTGTTACTTTATTTTTTTTATTCATGAACATGACTGAGAAACCTTAGAAAGATCAATATATCTTTAACTTGTTTTTTTATCATCAATGTGGTATCCATATACATTAATGAAAGATCATTGATAATTTTAATTGGTAAACATTATTATAAAATATATATGATATTAATTTATAAGATATCTCCTGATGCGGTGTTTCGTCTTCATCAACAGATTAGGTTGTAATAAAACAACTGGTATCGTTCGAATATTCTATCATGACATCTAAAAGACTATAAACTATAAAGACTGTAAGTAATCAAAAATCTGCATTTCTTATTTATCATATTATTAAGAGATGTAGTAGGATCAAAGCATACCAAAGGTCCGATGAAAAATTATTTACGTTGAAGAAAGATGACTTGCAACATTTAAAACAAATACATAGACAAAAATCCAAAAAACATTAAACTTTGAGGCACACGAATCCCAACATAAAAACTGTGATAAAATCAGATGTTCTAGGAGGTTCAACAGTCTTTACAATTTAGGATTTACATCTGGCCTTACAAAAAATGTGCTAGAAACACCGACTTAAGAATTGTGAGTGGATGCTTTCTGGAGTCTGATAATAGTACCAACAATTTGTATGACTTTGAGGCCTTATGAACACTGATATATCAGCAAATACAAGATGTTTTTATGTTGGAGAAGTTATCTCTAGAATGAAAAATCCTGCAGCTTTTTACCTTTATGATGATTTTGTACACTACTAAAATGGTAACTTTAGTCCTCCAGAGATAACCCGAAACAAACAAAAACTTCATTATATGATGTTTATCTATGCCTTACATAACTCTTTGCTAATATTGTCGCCACTGTAAATCATAAAGATCTCGGTGAAAAGTGTTAACATATGTGATAGTCTTCTTAAACATATTTTGATTAACATCCCAGTGTCCTTCATTCATACCAAAAACAAATATGCTAGAAATTCTATTCAAAGGAATCTCTATCTGTGTCATTCCTATCTCTATGCTAATGAAAATGAAAATCACACGTTACAAATTTGGTGCATAAGACAAGCTTTTCTGAATTAACCTTAAAAAAAACTGCTCAAGCAAACGACAAATGAAAACCAAGGATATACAACTACTTGAATTTTTGAGGAGATTATGACCAAAAGGGACCTTATAAGACTAGTTAAACCAATCTAATATCGAATTTGTCTGATAGAGTTGGAACCTTATTTTATTAATAATTTATCAATTTATCAACGGCGTATTTAGGAAAAGTATGTTATATATCATGTCAGTACCAAAGCACTGCTAAGCTAATGATATATGTACCCCGGGTTAATATCAGTCTTTCAGCAGTGTCTGAAAATGAAACACTTTATAGAAATGGTGCGTCCTAAGCTTCTTTTTTTCTGAATTGACTTTCTTCAGCAACGCCCAAAACCAAACAATTGAAAATACCTAGAATAATGATGATTAATAAACTATAATAGTAGATTTTTAAGATACGTAACGGTTCATAATCATGGAGACCATTAAATTGCAGTAGGGTGAAAATGATTATTTGCGTCATGTCATATTATGTTCATTTTAACTGTTTTAAGGTAGAACAATACAAAAGCAACTAAATTTTATCAAAGTTTCATTTTCAGCTGTTTTTGTTACTCATTAATATTACAAAACCTCAGAAGAAAAATAAGTTTTCATATCTTGCACTGTTAATGAGTTTTGATGATAATTAGTTTTATAAACAGATGCACGTGTCTGACTGATTCTAAAAAGAACATGTGGGCAGTACTTTGTGGTTAATCAACCGAATGACCTCTGACCAGCTATAAAAATAACAAGCATAGAAAAGAGGTTGAATTCGGGATTTATAGAAAAAAAGATGATGAAATCCAAATAAAAATACATTTCTATATTGGAGCTGCCAGGAGAAAAAACAAAAGAAATAATTTGGAGCTATAGATGGAATCAAATATAAATGTACAGATATTAAACAAATATAATTGTACAACATTAATGTTGCTGATGTTAATACTGATGGTTATATCAGATTTTCTTGAGAAGAATGTGTAAATATGAATTCTTTTTAAAAGAAAACACACAAATTAAATATTTTATTTTCAAACTACAAAAAAAAGAAAATTCTACTTTGTTTAAAACTACATATTTTTATTGTATGCAATTATAAATCTAGAAATCCCCCATACGAATCCTATAGACTGAACAACTGATGATGTAATGTACACATGCATAACTTACTTTTTGGGGAAATGTTAATAACAAAATATATTGTGTCATGTACTAATTGAATAAAAAACCATATTGGAAAAAGCAAATGCAATGTGTAATTAAACATCTGAGATCATTAAGGGTTGATGTTTATCAATGTTGGCGGAGTTTCGACCATATCAGTAGCAACTGACGTACAGCAAGGTAAAAAATGACATAACTTCTCCCGCCAGATCTGGTTTTTGATGCATAGGGTGTGCATTTTCGTTATATATTTAGAATTGCTGAAATGGAATGCTTTCTGACCTAATTGATTTATGATTAAAGGCCAATCTTGAAGTATCCCCATGGTACATGTGTGAATGATATTGAAGTTAATGAGGTTCAAATAGGCAAATAGGAAAATCCTTACTTGTATTCAATTGTGACACATACCTTTTTTTATGAAAATGTACTTTTAAATGAAATTAGCTCCTACATTGATGCCCCTATATGCCTGATTTTACCACATGTTGTTCCTTGACAAGTTATCTTCAAAACCGTGTCTCCGATTTCCAAAAACATCAATAGAACAAAATTTATACCCAATTAAATTGAGTGATTTCTTATGAAATAAGGTTACAAACGTAATTGAAGGGTTATGAGAGAATGAAACACAATATGAAAAATCTGGGACATGATTTGGGAGGTCAAACTGTGTTGCACAAGAATCTATAAAAAAATTTTGGGATGCTATGAATAACAAAGAAGCTAATTTCATTTAAATGTGGACATCAGAATCTAGCAAATAGTTGAAATAAATATCTAATTATGTTGTTAAAAAAAGAATCTAGCAAATAATTACATAATAATCAATTATATAATGATTATGTAATAATGAAATGATCACCATTTGAATGATTAATCTTTCTTCTTTCTTTTGGTTCCTCATTCATGAATTTTACAGCTGGATGAAAGAAATTACATCACTTTAAAGTTGTCTGATTGGGAATTTAAAAAAATCTTTGTATTGTGCTACCTTAAGTATATAATAAATGTTTGAAACGAATTATTTTCTTAATATTAAGAAAAGATTGAATACCGAACTGGCTGATAGCGGTTGATCGAAATTTGTAAAAAATAAAAAAGGAATAAAGGACCGACCGCAAATTGTTTTTAGAATTACTGTTTTTATTATTTAACTTATGACTTTTCTTTTACATTAGGAATTGTACAATTCTATTAGGGAAATAAAATCTAAAATAGGTGAACCGTACACAGTAGCGTGCAGAGATTAGCACTATAGATTTAAAAGCCTTAGCTGATAACCAAAATGAGAAAAATACGATTTTACGTTTGCGTATATATAGAACACCCAATGTTCACAAATTTTTACTGCTTATCCGCGAAAATTGGAAAGAAATCGAAAACATTCTAAATTTTTCAAGCCACCCGTTATAGCTGTCTGTAGGCAAAAGAGTCTCAAATACTACCTTTGGAGGGCTTGTGTATCTTCTAGTCTAGGCTCATCGTCAGCAGGCTCGTGAAAGGGTTATTGGAACAATCGATGTCTGACTTGCAAGCAAAACCTGCATACCAAGACTTTCAACAGCCACTCTACTTGTACGAAATACACCATATTTTGCACGGTTACTTCCAAGATTACTTATAATTTTATCTAATACAGTGTGAATGTGGAAAACAGTATGTTTTAAGTCAGAATATTCATTTCCCAAACGTATGAACGGCCACCGTAGTGACTTTGACTGTAATCCAGACCTTTCTCTCAGTCGACATTTGAAATCCCTAACCGCATAAAGGTAAATCTCAATCGACTGAATATTATCATCATTTACCAAAACATAGCTTGGTCTTTGGAGGAGAGAGTCACTAGGGAAAATTATTTGATAAGAAAGTTAAAAATCTTGGCACCAAAAGGGATAAATGAAAAAGCATCGTCTATTGTAAATACTTAATATCCATGAAATTTGAGATTTTTGAATTATACAAGTAACACAACCGCATTGATATCGACCCAGTGGTTGTGAAAAGCTTATCTTGCGCTTCATGAATCCCACCAAAAACAGAAAAGTGAATATTATTCAATAGTGACATTTAGTAGATAGAGTCGATACCTGTAGCTGTTCAAAACTTGCCTAAATCACCAGACATATACATTTGTTGCGTCATACGAGCTTGTCGATCATGCACGACAATAAGTGTAATTCTATTTACAAATGGAACATAATACCAGATCAAAACTAGTTGTGCATATTGGCATCAAAGGAAATGGAAAAGTTCATCTATTATGACAATAAAGGAGTTTTATAGTGTCAAATATATTTATATTAAAATTTTTACCTGATTCCTAATTTGATTTAAAAAAACCTGAATTCAATTAAAATACGAAAAATATTAAAGTGACAGATTCAATGAACATATAATTTCTTCGACTGTAATAATCAGTTTGATTTGCACCCAAAAACTAAATGCGATTTTGTTTATGAATCTTAACGTATAAGTTGTAAGAAACAGATAAAATGATGATAAAGATTTCGACTTTAAATGTCACGAAAATTTGATGCTTTTACAGTGATTATATCTTAATGTATTGAGTGACATTTTCGACGAGCCAATGAAGCGGTTACGATATGCAGTATATAAGTGACAATTGTTAATGTGTTCAATCACGCTGCTTATGACAAGGTAAGAATCTTATAAATTTATATATTTGTGAAATATACCAAAATGAATATACATGATTAATTGGTTACCAATTAACGGTTCCTTAATGATACATGGTACCATGTAAAAACAACATTTTGTAAGATTGGTTATTAAAATAACATTCTTAACAGAAATATGAAATTTCTTAATTGTTTTCAAGCATTATAAGAATTTTGGATATTATTCAAAAACCAAAAAATTGTATTGTAAGTTACAATATTCATCTTTTTTTTATTTAAGTTATCCTCAACAATACTGAAAGATTTTGCTTTAATATGAAAAATGCTTTGTCGAAGATATAAAATGAAAAAAGATTTTGTGCAACTTTCAACAATAGTGCATACAAAGAAATAACAGGAATCGCCAGAATTACCACACATTACAACAAATCACATCAACAAAAAAGCAACCCACTCCACCGAAAAAACAAGACACACAAAAAACACAACAACTAACAACACATGTTACGGATACCCTGAGTAAGCACATGCACGAATTGTGGTGGAAATAAAACCGTCTTACGTGAACACCACCTCACCTTTTCGCCTATCTAGACCATATGTCATAAAACTAATGCACACATTTAACACCTACACGGTGCAGATAATAACAGGATGATGACCAAAAGTTTGAGCAAGAAACTAAATGGTTATAATATAATTGAAATCATGTTTTAAATGTTTGTCATAGAGAGATTCAACGTTGTAATGAACTGTTTTACAATTAATCGTGTTAATGGCTATTTGGACCAAAAGGTTGTTTATATGTTCAGAAGTTTCATTCTGTTTATTACATGCCTTCTGTCGTTGTTGTAATCGGGTAGTGTAGACACAGTTATGCGTTATTTCCTCCTTCCGTAGTCAGAATATGGCAAGGGAGCGTAGTTTCCAAGGTTATCATTTGACCAGTAGTCGATGCTTTGGTACTCACATTATTTTTAAAATACCTTTATTAAATTTTCCCTTGAAAAATTAAAAAAATTATTAAAAAAAACAAAGGTTCCAACTGCCTCTAGCAAAGTTGATCTGAGTTGGATTTGGCTACTCTTTTGGTCATATAGTTCCTCTAGTAGTAAAGTATTTGTACATCTTTGGCTTTCAAAGTTGTGGGTTTGAGCAATCCTGATCGATGAAGGTAAATTCAGAAAAGCGCTTCGGACGCATATAATTTACAAAGTATTATTTGCATATTCTAAAGAATATTAAGAATGCAAATTATGTTTAAAAACAAAAAGACCTAATATTAAAAGACCAAATATTCTTGGAACACCTTTATACTAGGACAGGAGAATAAGTTATTTTCCCCCAAAAATGGTAACTCTAAATCAATTGAGGGGATCACTGTATATACGTAGCATCAATATTTGAACCGTAGTTTACGGAATTCTACCGTTATGCTGTATTATTCTTAGAGGATAACGTCTGCAAATAAAATTTTGAATGAAGATTTCATGAAAACACATAAGATTATCAAATACCCTGCATACTAATATGATTCAAAATATGAAAAAAATTAAGAATCATATTTAGCAGTTACGACATCTTCTCGATACTTTGTTAAAAATTAGTAGAGGTATAGATTTTCTGAAACAAGTAAGTTCACTATTATTGCATTATTCGGCCACCGGCTGAATTATAATTGTCTCAAGCGAAGCGCAATATTTCAATTCTAAGGAAATTCTGAACCCCTAATTTTGTCAGTTTTGCATCTGTATTACCCAAAGTCTATGTAAGCAGGTCATTAGACGATTATGAATTGTCATTGATAAGTTAACTAATGAATTTATCTATCTGTTCTATACGAATTGTATTTAACATTTAAGTCATATGTTATCTTAAATTAAACAAAAAAGGGGAACGCGTTTTATATAATTTTAATGGCTAAGTTTTACTTTAAAAATGTGAACAGACTTCCTTATAAACGAAAATCCTTTACTTTATCAAAATCTTCAGAAATGTACTGCCATTGAATTATTGTCTTCCCATACTCCAACCCACAGACGGCTTTTGTGTATGCCGTGACCTTTATCATGACACATTTCGTTAGAAATTCGGCAATAACACATTGCAAGTTCCAGGGGGAAAACTGCGGTCAAATAAAAGGTAAACAAACGTCACTGCTAGATACAAAAAATAAAACTAAATCTCCCAAAAAATTTGATAAACCAGTAACAAGTTTAAAAGGGCTTATAAAATCATGTAAACTAATCGATATTTGGAGAAGCAAAAATAAAAATACTAGACAATTTACTTGGAGTAGGAAAGATAGAACAGAAGCTAACAGAATTGATTATTTTTTTGTTTCTAAAGAGGTACAAAAAACTGCAAAAGTTGTGATATTAGACCTATTGTCCAAAAAATAACTGACCACAACGCAGTGTCACTCAAATTAAATACTGAAAGAGGAAATAAAGGACGGGGGTATTGGAAGTTAAATGCTAGTATAATAAACAATGAAGAATATGGTTATGTTATTAAAAAGCTAATATCTAAATATGAAAAAGAATTAACCAACTGTGATGATTTGGGGATTCTTTGGGATAATTTGAAAATAGAAGTAAGGGACGCAAGTTTAGACTATTGTAAAAGAAGAGCTAAATTAAAGAAAGATGAAATAAATGTTCTGGAAACAAAGTTGAATAACCTAAATAATGAAATAAATGATAGTACTGATATAAATAAAACACTACAAAAGGAAATAGAGAATGTTGAAAATAAGATAGATAGTTTGTATAAAGACAAGATTAAAGGGCAAAATGTAAGGTCAAGGGTAAAATGGTTTGAAGAAGGTGAAAAAAATAGTGCATATTTTTTTGGGCTAGAAAAGAGTCGTCAAACAAAAAAAGTTGTTACTGAATTATATGATGAAAATGGTTTGGCTACCAAAAATCAAAATAAAATTTTAGACTTGGAAGTAAAGTACTATAAAAAAAACTCTATGAATCAACTAATCCCTGTGATAATGAAGTTAAGAAGTACATAATAGAAACAGAAATATCAAAGCAGTTAGATGAATTTAGAAAGTAATCAATGTGAAGGGGAAGTGACTGAGAAAGAATGTACAAAAGCAATTTTTAAGATGAAGTTAAATAAATCCCCTGGCCTGGATGGTCTGACAGTGGAATTTTATAGGCAATTTTGGAATCATTTAAAAAATATTATGGTTAAAGCATTCAATAATAATTATGAGAAAAAAGAACTTACCAATTCACAAAAAAAAGGTGCAATTTCCTTAATATATAAAAAAGATGACCCGCTTTCATTAAATAATTACCGTGCAATTACATTACTTAATATAGATACAAAACTACTGGCTTATGTGTTAGCACAAAGACTTAAAAAAGTTTTACCATCTATTATAAGTCTAGACCAAACTGGATATGTAAAAAATAGATATATTGGCTTTAACATAAGACAAATTCAAGACATAATTGATTATTCAGAGAAATTTAATATAGAAGGAGCAGTACTATTTCTAGATTTTAGTAAGGCTTTTGATTCTTTAGAATGGATTTTTATGACAGAAACTCTCAAAAAGTTTGGATTTAAAAGTGGATTTATCAGATGGGTTGAAACTATGTATAGCGATATTAAAGGGTGTATTTTGAATAATGGGTGGGTCTCAAAAAAATTTAAGATACATTTGAAATATATGGGGAATACGACAAGGATGTACGATTTCTGCTTTACTGTTTGTTATAACAGTTGAATTAATGGCAATAAGATTGAGAAAAAATAAAGAACTTAAGGGAATAACAATAAAATTAGATGGACAATCTTGTAATTTAAAAATCTGTCAATTAGCAGATGACACAACATTGTTTCTTCAGTCTCGTAAAGATATAAGCCTGGCTCTCAGTATAATAGAGACATTTGGAAGTCTATCAGGGCTGAAACTTAATAGGAATAAAACAGAAGGGGTATGGTTAGGGAGATTAAAAAGCAGTAAAGATAAATATGAAAATATCAATTGGACAAATAAACCAGTCAAAAGTCTTGGTATTTATTTTGGGTATGATAATAAGGAATGTCTAACACTGAACATAGAAAAAATCTTGGATAAAATTACAAAACTTGTAGACAGATGGTCAAAAAGAAATTTAACATTGCTTGGAAAAATTTTAATTGTAAAAGCTCTTCTGCTACCAAATTTAACTTATTTTGCTACTAACGGTATTATTACTAAAGATAAGTTGCAAATCATAAACAATATAATTTATAGATTCGTTCGGAATGGAAGAAAAGATAAAATAAAGAGGTCAATATTAACAAAAAATTTTGCTGAAGGGGGCTTAAAAATGATTGATCTGGAGTCTTATATAATGTCAATACATATAAAATGGATTAAAAAAATAATACAATCAGAAAATGCTAACTGGTCTGTGTTGCCTAAATTATACCTGAATAAGTTTGGCAAAAATTTGCTAATTTTCAAGATAAATATAAGAAACATAAAATCACTTGATAAAAAAATATGGAACAATACACCACTATTCTATCAAGAACTGATAAAATCATGGATAAATTTGAATGATACTAAAAATAATCAAATATGTAACTTTTTAGAGATCAGAAAGCAAATAATATGGGGCAATAGTTTGATAAAATTTAAAGGACAATGTCTGTTTTTTGACAAATGGATTGAAAGTGACATTTTATTTATAAACGACATAATTGATAACAGAGGGCAAATATCAGAAGAAGTAATTAATTTAAAACTAAAAAACAAAAGTAATTGGATTGCTGAATTTTCAAAACTTAAAAAAGCCATACCAAATCACTGGGAGGAGAAGCTTAAAACTGAGAGATCATGCAAAACTATAGTTAATATTAACAGAGAAAAAATTAGACTAAGAGACAATGAGGATATACTGGGCATTAATAATAAAGATATTTATAAGATAGTACAAAGTCGAATAAAAACAGAAACACCTATTGGATTTTTAAAATGGGGAAAGGGTATTACATACAGGAAATATAAATAGTGAACTCAAAGACACTATAAAATTCACTTTTGAATATCTAAAAGATAATAAAATTAAGATGTTCAGGTGGAAGTTAATGCACTTTATCTTGCCAAATAAAGAGCTGTTATTTCAATGGAAAATTTCTGAAAACAGCCTTTGTACATATTGTAATGAACAAGATAACTACAATCATTTTTTCATCACATGCTCATATAACACAACCTTCTGGAAATCAATGAGATATATATTTAACAAACTAGGTATTGACAAACATGTAATAAGCCTACACTCTCTAGTAATAGGATACAAGATTCATGATGATACTTATTTTGGACTGAATCACTTGCTGAGTTTAATGTTTTTCTCAGTCTATAAATCACATTAAAAATCCAATAATAAGGAAAAAAAAATAGACATATTGAAAATTTTTAAATATGAAATCAATAGTACAGTTGAATTATATTGTACGGCCAATATAGAAATAAACAGAATGTTAAAAAAGGTGTTACAGATCTTAAAATAAATAAAATTAACTTTTGGAAAAAACAGTTTTAAAAGCAGAATGCATGTATTAATATGTTAATATTGTGTATTTGTTTTCAATGTTTCAAGTGTATCTGTGTATATGCTACTATAATGTATGTATATGTGTTTATGTATGCAAATGCATGTATACATGTATGTGAATGCATGTATCTGTATATGTCTTTATATGTGTGTACATGTATGTATGTAACTATATGTATGAATGTATGCATATGTATGTGTGTATGCATGCATGTAGGTAGGAAAGTTATGTATGTATGTAAGTGAAACATAAAATTAGATTGGCAAGAAAAAAGGGGGGGGGCGTAAATGTATTGTAGAAAAAAAGAAATATTTTTATATAATGTAATCATGTATCCTATCTTATCTGTACATGTTTATAGAAGTCAACAAAGCTTTTGTACAATGGTATTAACTTTCATATGTCTAATGATTGTTTTCTTTTTTATGTGAAACTTTAAGAACATATATATAAGTATAATAAGTACAATTGTAATGTTTACAAATATAAAGATCACGGGTAGTTAAATTGGGGTCAAATTTGTAAATAAAGTTTCATGACAAGAGCTTATAAGAAACAAACAGTATCAAATGTAACTTACCATTCTTTATTATTATCCAACACTTCCAAAAACTTGTATAAATCCAAAGGTATAAAATAACAAAAAGTATCAGAAACAGTATGTCAGTAACCACGCTGTCTCTCATTCACATACCTCACATGTTTCAAAATTTTATCAAAAGAATCGATAACGGATTTTTCTCCGTAAATTTCACGACACAGCGTCTGTAACATCTTTACTTCGATAAGATTTTATATGATATTATGATTATTTATAAAGTAATTATAGAAAAATAGAAATGTATTAAAATGACTATGTATAAAATAAAATAAGTTTTACTGTATATTCTCCCTGGATATTCAGTAATAATTGTGTATAACAGGGATACTTGATGGAATGCTGTACATCAAGTATTTTGTTAAAACAGCAAAGAGTGCAATAAAGAATTTATGAATGTTAAAAAAAAAAAAAAAAAAAACAAACGTGGAAAGAAGATAATATTAACCGATTCTAAAATAACAATTTAAATAAATCATTTAACAACTGTTATGACAAAGTTCAATTAACAAATGGGAACACATCGAAAACATTAAAATAACAAATGTTATTCGCTCTGTCATCTCACTTATTTTTCACGTGTTCCATGAATCTGTGTTGATTATTTATCAATAGGTAACGATCGTTAAACTTTGGCAACAAAACCCGAAAGTTAATTTTTTATCATTATTACATAATGATTTTTTTTTTACGATTATACTGTTTGGATTCGTAATAATTGTTATAAAAAAACGTGCGCAGAGGACTTAGTTTAATATATGTCTGCATTCATTGGTACAATAATTTCCTCGACATTATAATTACCTGAAATTCGCTTCATATAACTTTAACTGCTCTTTTTCTAGACAAACGTCTCAATTATGTGGTGTGTAAGTCTATTTGCTGCATCACTGCTGCTCATGGCGAATGGTAAGTCAACAATAAAATTATGAATGACAATTATTATTCTATTTTCCCTATAAAACCTTTATCATAAAGTGATGATTACATTTTAGAATTAATTCGTATATGTCACAATAAAAATGTCTACATTTGCGTCCGACCATTTTCTTACAATGACAACGAGTCTTACATAAAACTTTACAAAATTATTTGAGAAAATATAATTATATTTCGCCAAATAGTTTATGAGAACTGAAGTAAAACAATGCACACGTTGTTCCTGAAATGTAAAGAATAATTTAACATTCTTTGAAATAATCATGTCATTATAAAAAAAAATGTATTTCTGGTTCATGAACGACAATTCAGATTTTATATTCAATATCATAAGAGGTTTTGTAATATCCATTATGGCATTTTCAAACACGTATATACAATCATTATTCAGTTAAAATAAAAAAAGAAAGTTTGTACTTATAAAGTAGTGACGAAAAGGATAGTAATGCAATACATTTTTATAGCTTCAAAAGTATGCTACGACAATATTGGATGCTTCAGTAATGCCTGGCCATTCTGGAACACTTTTAGTATCCTCCCACATTCCCCGGAACAAAATGGAATCACTTTTCATCTGTATACTCGTATCAACCCAACAAACGATCAAGTGTTAGATCCAAATGGCTCTGGGACGTCTGTAATGTCGACAAACTTCAATGGTGCACACAAGACAGTGTTTATCATTCATGGTTTCAACGGAGAAAAAGAAGATGATTGGATAAAGCTAATGACAACCGCCCTCATACAATATGTAAGTAGAGGAGATAACTTTGTGTAATTATCTTGTTACCGCCTTTTGTATGCATTGTTACTGTGCTGTGCATGGAAAGTGGGAATCGGTAAAACATATAATCCTTTTAACTAAATGATATAAAAAAATCACGAAAGAGTCTGGTGTTCATATCGACATTTCCATTCAGATGACTATTTCGACGTTTTCTGGAAGATATAATTTTGTGTTTTACCAGCCGAGCACTTTTGTGTTGACTGTTGACATAAAGTGTCATTAATATGTTCATTTTCTGTAAATTTACTATCAATAAAATGAATTGCCTTAGCCGTATTTGGCACAACTTTTCGGAACTTTTGTTGTTTAATGCTCTTCAACTTCGTATTTGATTTGGCCTTCCTATTTTGATTCGAGCGGCACTGATGAGTCCCATAAAGACGAAACGCACGTCTGGCGTACCAAATGATAATCCCGATATCTTTGATGAGTTTTTATTCTTTCAAAACCGGTTATAATGATATTCTTTACGGGAATCATATTCACTTTATTGAACCGCACTGTTGTAGACAATAGAACCTAGATGTAAGCTTAAATCTAAGGATATTTTTAACATTGTTTGGAGATTTAAAAGCACGATTTTTCGGAGAGAGATTCAACATTATATTAAATCGTTTTTGTATGTATTCATTTGGCAGTTTGATGTAAATGTAATAGTTGTGGTTTGGACAGAGGGAGCGAACGAAAAATACTACCGAGCAGTAGCAAACACTCGTGTTGTGGGTGCTGTTACTGCCAACATGATCAAACTATTACAGAGGTCCAGTGGTTTGACGTTGAACAATGTACATTTAGTTGGACACAGTCTAGGTGCCCATGTTGCTGGTTATGTTGGAGAGATAATAACGGGCATTGGTAGAATAACAGGTACTTTAGATTAATATCACAACTTTTTTCTCTATTTTAAGTATCTTACTTTATAAGTAATTGCAAGCTTTATTTTTTTATTATTTATTATTGAATATTCCTTTTATCTTAATTTTTGTGTTGTTGCACACTTTTTAGATGTATAGACCAAAATATGTACACCAACATAAAACATAAGTATAAACAGGAAAAGAAGTATGCAATGCCCTTTAAAAAGAATTTAACCCAAAATTAACGGTTTAAAAATATCAACACAAATCAATAAATATTTCCGATACCAGGTATCACTCTTCGTCAGTATTAGTAAAATGGGCGCCTTATTCGACGAGAAACACACACACACTAAAATATGTGAAACCTTTACCGATATTGGAACTACTTTAAAGGTAACGTTTCTTGGCTGAGAGCTAAAACTAATAGTTTGCAGGTATAAAAAAATGAAAATATCACTTTTGCACGATAATGTTATGATGCAATTTGCACAGTAAAAAATAAGAAGAACACTTTAAACATTTGGTGCATCCGAGGCGCTTTTTTGAATTTATCTTCACCAGGAACGCACAGGTTTACAATTTTGAAAGCAAGCGATGTATTATTACTTGACGAACTATATGACCAAGAAGGACCAATGTGGGCTAGTCCATGTCGATTTTGCTTGAGGGAGTTGGAACCTTAGGTAATATGGATAAGATTATATAATTTCCTCTATAAGCTACTGATATAGGTCTTTGTTTACTATTGACTGTGAATATTCTCCTTGTTTTGTAAATATTCTCTTTCTCGACTTTTGGTCTTTTAATTGACAACTGGTTTCGTGATTTAATAAACAATTCATTTTTATCTGTTAAGATTTAGTTAGTATATTAATGACTTGAAGTAACATTAACTTGTATACAGTGTGTCTTTTTCCAGTTCATTTGTATATGTTTTCGTCGTTACTGTCATACACGTGGGAGGTTTAGCTAGCTATAAAACCAGGTTTAACCCACTATTTTCTTTGGAAAATGTCTGTACCAAGTCAGGAATATGGCAGTTATTTTTCACTTGTTCCGTTGATTGATAGGGTCTGATTTTGTCAGTTTTGATGGGCTTCCCCTTTTTGAATTTGCCATGGAGTTCGGTATTTTAGTTATAATTTTTTTTACATATATGAACAGTGTGATAGTAAAGATCTCAACAGTTGTTTACAGGTGTTATATTTATTATATTTACAGGTCTAGACCCCGCAGGTCCGGCATTCTATATTGCAAATGTTAAAGTGAGATTGGATTCTTCTGATGCCACATTTGTTGACGTCATACACACAGACGGAGGTAAGTATAATGGTCAAGGTATTTTATTTTTATTTTACTGACTGCAGTATTCATATTTCTTTGTAATTCCCCTTGCAAGGCGGACCGTGAACCCCGGTTATTGCTTTTATCGTTGACCTTGATGCTCTGAAACCTTTTATCGTTGACCTTGATGCTATGAAACCTTTTACCGTTGACCTTGCTGTTCGGAAACTTTTGTGTATTTGATTGTTTAAAGGAACCGAAATCTTGCGTTTATATTCAAAACTTTAAAGGACAATTTTGCGAACACTGATAGATGTGTCAAGGTAAGAAAAAAATTATGTGAATATATGAATAGTTTAATACTTAAACTTACAACAAATGAAGTGGAACTAGTTTTTTAGAAACGGTATTTATTAGAATAAATGATAGCCATGACAATATCAAAATCAAACAAATTGTAAAGATGTATATCAATGAAAAAAATACGTAATATGGTAAATCTATGTACGTACTAAATTTCAGTATCAAACCATAAAACATACAGGTTCTTGTGATAGGTTATTCTCGTCAACTGTTATTGTCCGGCTTTGATAATCATAATTAAGGAAGCTAGGAAAATATGTCGTACATATCACGGGATTTGTTTTAGCAAAGAACAATTGATTTTTTTTTCCTATTTTACTATGGCATTGCCAGTTCGTTTTTGGTTTATTCGTTTAATTATCCACTTGACGGCAGCTGTAAATACTTATCTAGTTGATTACTTTTAATTAACTGCATACTTTTTTTCAGTAGTAAAAATCTCTCCAAACATGTATATTACAAACATCAATGCGGAAACTTCTATAATAATAATAATAATGATAATAATAATAATAATCGTTGTCATTTTTAATTGATGCGACATGTTAAACAGACTGGGTTGTGTTATGCTCTTTGGTCGGGTTGACATTGTCCATTCCCAATTCTATCATATTAAGATAAGCCTTAATATGAACTTGATAGACAAACAAAGGTTAATTGAAGATATAGCGGAGGAACAATGCGTCAGTCAAAAGAATAGGAAAGCTACAGTTTTCAAAACGTAAAAATAAGCACTTAGAAATAAGATAAGGCTCCGTGTTGAAGGCCGTACTTTGACCTATAATCGTTAACTTTTTATACGTTGTGACTTGGATGGAGAGCTGTCTCTTTGGCACTCATACCACATCTTCTTATTTATACTTAGAAATAAACGTATATTTTTTTTCTTTCGAATTTCAATGTATTCGAAAAATCTAAATGTATCGGATTGCAATACTTGGACCATACAGACGTTACGCACGATATTGCGTCTCAAATGGTAACGTCATTTTTTTACGTTTTACGGCGATTAATGATTATCATGATTATATTGGGGATATTTATTTTATTTCACTTGCAATTTCTGTTTTGCACATCAATATTGATACTTCTTAATGTTTGGTTGTACTGAATATGCATGAAATATTTCCCACTGAAAGTAACGTAAGCAACAAACAACAAAATATATCGTATTTGGGTAATGCATAAGTCTATATGAAAAAAAAGATATACGGTATGATGAGTGCCAATGAGACAACTCTCTACCAGAGACCAATTGACATAAAACGTAATAAAATGCAATGTTTCCCCATTTTGATCCGAAAAAGAAGAAGATATATATTTTGATTTAATTAAAAAATGTTTGTCGGGAATTACAAGTTAAACGGGTCTTGCTTATAAAATTCACTGTACTTTCTTTAATGATTAAGAGATGAAACGATTGTCAGAAAAAAGGTTAATTCTATTCATCTCATATGTTTACAAGCCTTGTATATTATGGAGAGGTATATAGCCACGCTTCAGGTCGAATTTTATTTTTACTTTCAAGTTCTATACATATGAATCTTATTGCAGAGAAATAAAAAAAATCGCAGTTTTACGCTCCCCAAATTTGAAAATTTGAAAAAGATTATTTTTTATCCTCTCGTAATACACAATTTTTTCACAACTAAAGAACCTCATCTAAACGAACAACCCCAGCCATCGGATTTTTTTTTTATACTTTGTGGTCTTTTTGATAGTATCTGACTATCAAGAAAATTCTATCTGAGGAAATATATACAGATGATCCACCATAAATAGCGTCCCGAATTTACAACGTTCAAAACGTATCAAAATCGTCCAGTGGACAAACTTGCAAGACATTTCATTTCTTTGAAAACGAAGTCGTTTTGACTACGCAAATTATCAAAAAGTATGTAGCTGTTTCGTAGAGTTAAAGTACAATTACGGAAAAGCAATATTTAGCATGCAACAAATCTCAATTTTCAATAATAACGTCGCAAATGACAGTTTATTTGTAAAAAGCGACGAAATCCGACATTGGACATCTTGCAAGACATTTGCCAGAAGCCGTTGCCTTTTTATATGTGGTGTGAGTGCTGCAAAAATTCGATTTTGATATGGTCTATATATGTACTTTTGTGAGCATAATTTACACAAACGAAATTTCATATAATCTTACATTTTGAAACCTATAAATTTTGATAACTTAAGATTTTCCTAAATCTGACCATAATGGACACTTTTTGTTTTTGCCAAAAAATAACGTTGGTTGTTACAGGAACGCATATTCAGTAATATTGTAATACTTTATATATAAAGCATATCATTCATTCAAATTTTCGCGGATATAACACTGTTTTGAAGAACACAAACACCCCTGCTAAAGTTATTATGCGTATAGTCTGTTACGTCTGACACGCATATTTTGTACGTTTTGTCAATATGTTGTCCTTATTTTAGACTATTGTAAAATATGATAAAACAGTTTGTATTTTTTTTTTTCGGAATAGTTTTTACTAGTCTAGTCTATGGATAAAAAATTTATATAACTTCACTGTTATGATTTTATAGAAAAGATGTTTATTAGTGTGGACTGGTTGATTACACGGTATTGACGCAATAACGTGCGTAACGTCACAGCGTTATGAGAATTTTATGGAACAACCCAAGTTAAGAATTAATTAAAAATTTTCATTCGATTATTTAAAATTTGTTCTTGGCTTGGTCTGTTGTGTTTTCCAACATATACATTTTAGTATTTGTAACCCTATTAATGTATCATCGAACAAATTTTGGATTTTATTACTTTTTTTTGTAGTTCTGGGATTGCAAAAAAATATGGGGCATGCAGATTTCTATCCAAATGGAGGCAAAATCCAACCTGGATGTTTAACTGACCGTACTGTATTTTATCTATTCATTATTTTGTTTAAACCATATATATTTTATAGCATTTTATAAATAGCTCTTTCATTGCATTAATTAATTTTTGTACATGCCGATTTCACTGATGTATTACATTTACTGAAGTTAAAATAAATGCCCCCTTATAAGTTTCCCACAATTGATATATTTCATTATTCACATCTTAACGTAATTTATCAACTTTGGTTTAATGCTCGGTTATCTTATGGTAGCGTAATCGCCTCTAGTTTGGGCGAGTTGTGGATTTGATTCCCAATTTGCTCAAGCTACAAACATCAAGTTTGGCATCTGTTTCTTCACCACTGAGCATGCGATATTATGTAGTCAGAACAGACACTGGAAGGTTCGATTTCAGAGTAATGTGTCTGATATGATAGGGTATTTCTCGAATATGACTTTTTCCGACTTCATTTGTGGACTAGGACCTTTAAAACTGAACCATGCACTTCTGTCTAATATACTGGACTGAAATATCCCGGTTAATCCAATTAATTGGTTGCATAAACAGTGAATATCAACCCATGTCCCCTGTGAAGGAAACAAAGATAAAAATGGTAATTAATGTTGAAATCAGCACACTCCAGTATAATATATCACCGGTGGAGATCCCGAATAACATATAATATCTCGTTGACAATCTCGTTAATATACGTTCTCATTGCTTAAGTTTCAAATGGTGTTATGTTAATATCTGCTATCGTGTTATGATTTCCCGAAATTTTTCATTTCTTGCAACATAATTGTTTTGGTCAACATAAATGTATAATAAGTATAATTTTCAACTTTGTATTTCCTTTTTAGCAATAGCACCGGTCTACAGTTGTGCCCACATGAGGGCACTTTACTACTTCATTGAATCTGTAAATCCAGACTGCAAGTTTACCTCCCAACTATGTCAAAGTTGGGATGAGTTTAAGGATGGAAATTGTGAAAGTTGTGGAAGTGGTTGCCAAGAGATGGGATACAACTTGGCATACAATGCAGATGGAGAGTACTACCTGAGAACAGGCCAGAAATATCCGTATTGTGATTATTGACAATAAACCATTAAAAAAGATGTATTCGTCTTTCATATCCCTGCTTAATATTTTCTGTGGAAATAAACATCTATTCTTCTTGAGTTAGCCATCAATACGTTAAACCCAAACTTTTTTTGTAGACGAAACGCGCGACAAAATGGCGTACAAAATTTTGCTCTTCGCATTTATGATGAGTTATTACTATTTATTTTTTCTGGCGTCTTTGTTAGATTAATTTGTATGTTTGTTTGAATTTTTTTAGTCAGTTGTGTTGTATGTCTGTGATGTATGTTTACACATTTTTGACTGCTGGATCCCAATTATTGTTACATTAACCTTTTATGTCTGTTTGGGTTGCTTACCAATTTTTTCAATATAACGGAACTATAAACAATTGTCATATAAGTGGTAGGTTTAGCTAGCTATAAGCCAGGTCTAACCCACCATTTTCTTTGGGAAATGCCTATACCAAGTCAGGAATATGGCAGTTTTTCACTTGTTCCGTTGATTGATAACGTTTGATTTTGTCAGTTTTTATGGACTTCCCCTTTATGAATTTACCTTGGAGTTCAGTATTTTTGTTTTACTTTTTTGTCAATTATAATTAGGGATAAATATATTATCAGGTATCACTTGATACATATGCATCATAAGAAGGTGCGTTCGAAACGTTTTTCCTGACTAACCTTTACCGCTCAAAAACATAACTTTGGAATGCCAAAGATGTTTGAATACTTGATAGTCTACAATTTAAAACATAATCAGTGATGGATATATATGCTTTCCTTAGTTTTGTTTTTACTTTAAATAGCACAAGTTAGTAGAGGGTACTATTTTTCTGGTCTACAGTGTAGACTCTACACCGGTCTGTCCGTCCGTTAGTCAGTCCCGTATCAGGTTAAAGTTTTTGGTTGAAGTATAATAGCATAAAGTTGTGGTCATATCAACTTGAAACATAGTACACATGTTCATGATGATGTGGACTTTTAAAATTATATGCTCATATTTCGATTTTGACCCTCATTTCCCGGTTCACTGAACATAGAAATGAGATACAGTTAAATTGAAGCATTATCATAACGTTTTTTGTTAAGGTAGTTTAACATTGAAAACTAATAGCCTGACAGAAGAGACATAAGTTGACGAAATACGTATCTGGTGCATTGAAATTGGTACTGTTAATGTAAAAGTATATGCCAAATAACAGTTTTGACACAGGGCAATTGTTCACAACTAGTTAGTGCAAACAAGAATTTATTAATGTTAATAATAAAAACAAAACAATTTTTACCTCAATTTTACGATTCACTAAACATGGACATATGATCGTGCAAGCGGACACATGTTATAGTACATATAGACGTCATTCGAATAATAGAAATAGAAGATTTGTATGATTGCCAATGAAAAAACTTTTAACCAGAGACCAAATGACGTAGAAGTCTAGTTACTTATATTTTCGTAGTCTTTAGTAATAACATTATTGGAACCAATTTTTCATCAGTGTACTGCACCAGACGCGCATTTCGACAATTCTACATATACATAATACAATTATATCGTACGACAATCCACCAGAACATGAAAACTATATGCAGGCACATTACTAACAGACACTTGAGAAAGTAAATAAGTAGTACCCCTGTACCCCCCCCCCCCCCAACCCCCACCCCCCCAATACACTCAAGAAAGTAAATAAGTAGTACAATCCCCAAAAATAATTTTGTGCCAAAATAAAATAAAACACATTTACATATTTACAAACTGAACTAGACGTTTAAATGTCCTGAATTGAATTAGTGTATTTAATTGTCATAAAGAAGTAAACCAGAAAATGTATGATGTTTGCGTAATTTATGTGCGTACAGTGTCGAGGTAACACATTTCAAATGATTTTATTCCCGATTTTCTAATTGACTTGAAATCTGCAAAATGGACTATTTAAGAATGTTTATAATAACTCTCACGTAAAATCTCAGTTTATCTATAGTCTATGTAACAATATTTTTTTTTACTTTTTAATTTCAATCGACGTACATGAAATGCTTGTCTATTCTGTTACCGATACTAGATCAATCGTTAATTTATTTCTTCATTTAAATGTGAAACAATTCAGTGATCATATAAAAAGCACAAAGCATTCTAAAAATTGTACACGGCACGTTTCTCACATATCACTAAAGACTTTATTGTATAAACTTCACGAGACACATGTTCAAAAATATGTCAGGTTTTAAAAAAAAATCAGTTTTCAGCGATTTTTCACCAAAAAAGCCAAAATTTACTTCAAAATTACAATTTTCTGAACGAATTTGATGTTTTTCTTTTTTAAAACCAAAGAAGACTACATTCTACAAATTTAACAAGACACATGTTCAAAAATTATGTCAGATAAAAACAATGAAATTTTCCAGTTTTCAGCGATTTTTCAACAAAAAGTCAATATTTACCCCAAAGTTACAATTTTCCGATGGTCTGACACTTGTCGATTTTTGATATGTCAAAGAAATGGGATAATACTGCCTTGTTAGTATCAGATAGTTTCTGGTGCAATTACTTTGAGGTTAGGTTAATTTTGCACTAGAATGACTGGACTAAAAAGAAAATGCAAGAACTTAAGTAAAAAAATTAAGTGCGTACCCTTCTATCACGTCTATTCTGTTACCAACAAATCTATAAATGACAACAATACTATACTTGTAAAAAGTGTAATTACGTGTTGGACACCAAGACCACACTGAAAGCAAAACATAATCACTGCAAAAAAAAAAAAGAAATAGTAACTGTTATTTAACAACAGCATTCATATATATAGAAATTTGTCTATAGTGTTACTGTCTTTCCTGTAACTATAGCTAAAGTAACAAGATAAAAAACATAAAGATGATGGTTTAAACTAGTAACTTTTATTAAATTTTGCAATTTTGACTTTTTTTTATAATGCCCCATATAGGAATGCTCTATAGATGGTTTACTACAGCCCTATCCAATTTTCAAACTGGCCATCACAGCCTTTGAGCGATAGAATTCTCGTCGCAAACTACTAAATGTATTGAAATTAGACGGAAGAAATTTTTCTGGAATGACCCTCCGCCAAAACTGCGACTGATTATTTCGAAAAATTTACAATTAGACGACGACCCCTTTCATTTTACCTGTCAAAGTCAATGTCAACAGTCGGTACCGAGAATTTCCGTTAATCTCTAGTATTAAGCGGCAAATTATTATGTCCTTTCACATTTACATATTATGCAGATGCAAAGGTAAACGTACAAAAAACCTAGTTTGATAAATGTAATAACTCTGTCGCCTTTCATACATCTCCCCCAAATTAGGTGTTACAGTGCATCACTTGTATTTAGGTGTGTGTTTGGAGGAAATCAAATCTTTTTTTTTATTCAATAAATTTAAACAAGAGTTGACATAACGTTGGTTTTCGATAAATTCCCCCTATGGCAAATATGTATTTTGATTGGTTCTTCGCTATTAGAACATAATCCTCTGGGCATTCCCTTTATGAAAAAAAAATTATATAATTTGATGAACATCAATGACTTTTTTTAATCCACTATCAAATAAGAGATGACTAAAGCTAAAAAAATCAATCAGATCACCGCCATCCTACTCAATGCTGAGTAGAAAGAATCATTTTGTTGGTTAATTGACCCCTTGTGATTTACCATTTGTCTTACCAGCATTAGCAATTAATTAGAGACATTGAGCAATGCACAACAGGGGTGGGGATCATATTCGCGTTTTTACATCAAAGACTTTGGATTACATTTGTCGATTTTTTTTCTCTGTAAAGTTTACCTCGATCTAATCAAACGTTATGTTTTGAAGTCTTTGAAATAAATGGAATATTTCCTCCGTATCCGATGTCCTTTAAAATATTTGTAAGCAGCAGCCTAGGTTTTCATTTTTGTCCTTAGGTGGCATGAAGAAAGAGTACCTTGCAGATCAGTTGTTTCGCTAAAATTAATATATATTATATTACGGCTTTTAAATGTTCTACCTGTGTAATCCAGTTACTTTGTTTAAGACATCAAGAAAATGAATTACACATGATCAAATTGTTATCTGAAAAAAGGGGAAAAGATTCGCAAAAAACCTTGTTATTAACTTATAATTGCTAAATGAAATGGGTTAAAAATAGACAAATAGAATATGCTTTCAAATGCAAATAAGAAAACTAACTAAACACTTGAATAATTGCTCACAACCTCATAAAATTATCCCCACCCGGCCTGGCGAAGTTAAAAAAACGGACGAACAGGCGGTTTCCCACACCAGCCGCTTCATAAAACCGGCAATACAAAAATACGTTTTAAAGACAAGTTTGATGACTATCATTACTAAACCATATGCCAACATGATAACAATGATTATAGTTGTCAACAATAGTCTTATCTTAAACTTCTTATTAAGATACTGTCCTTATCTTTCAGATAATATTACCCTATATATAGAGAAAAGGTGAAAAGGGAATACAGGTCATCAAATGTACTTTTCTACTTTGACTTTATAGTATTTATTATAACTTATCTTACTTCTAGACCATACAATATCTGGTTGTGATATTTTCTAATTAATGTTCATTCATTTGAACAATGATTTTCACGATATTTCCACTGACATTATTATGTGTATATGCAAGAGGTAAGTGTTTTACAAATAATGTTTCCTATATGTCAAGAACTTTATTTCTATCAAGACCCAAAGGATGGCAGGAAAGGGTTGCCACTCCCCCCCTTTTTAAATGAGAATGAAAGAAAAAAACTTACAGAAATGACGAATATTTTTCTGTAACATTTCGAATTTCAAATGTGAATACGATATAGAGTTCTGACTAATTCATTTATAGGTACATATTCAATATACATTTCTTTTGATGCAATAACGTTTAAAAGTGTGAATACGATATGTCATTTAACACTAGCGTGTATAAACAATGGGAGACGAGAGTTTATGTCAATGGATAAGGATAGAAAGTGTTGCGAGGTTATGTCAATTGAATTAGTATAAATAAAAGAGGTCTGTTGTTGTTAAAGCTTCTTCAAATTTCGGCACGAACATGCATCGTTCTGATATTCATTTTGTATGGATGTATCAAGTAAGAAAAAGGTAAATTTCAGAATGTATTGAAATGACTTCTTCATTTTTTTGGAGGAGGAGGGGGGCATTGAATAAATATGGTTGCTTTGAACAGAATAACTCTTGCATGTGCATTAGAAAAACATAAATAGCTGTAGCCCGAACGAAGTAGTCACCGTATGCTTCTGTAAACCTATTATAGATACCCTAATTATATATTTGCCCTATCCTATCTTAACTTTTCAATCATTTTTATTCTTTTTAAATTATGAGAAAACAAAATGATGTCTTGCAAATAAGCATAGCCTGCAATATTTCAATGAAAAAGGAAGAATCTATTGTTGGTATCCAAAAAAACTTTTTTATGTTATATTTCAGTAGTATTCTTCTGTAATTAGAAATGATAGTAATTATCGTATTACTTATTTTGAAGCAATAACATACATATTTAATTATAATAAAACCCTCTTGTTGCATTTTTTCAAAGGCGTGCTTAAAAACAATCATCTAAATTTTAAAACAAAATTAATAAATATTATTCATATCAGATTTAATATTACTTATGACTGAAATTTAATGTACGTAATTATAAACAGCTACTTTTCGATAATTACATTCCAATGATGTATTATAAACCAATGTCAGTTTTGATTTCCAACACTGCATATAAACATATGGTATATCTATATCCCTATTTCATATAAACATAATAAATCATGATAACAAATGTATTCTATGAAGCAACTTAAAGTCATAGACCGAAAAAATCTTTCTGACTTAGATGAAATGGATAGTAAAGATGGTGTTTGTTTGCACTTAAAACTGGTAAAAACCTCAACGCAGTTTGTGCATGTGCCAAGTCGTGCTGAGCTGCATGACCGTGTCTTGTTCGTTGTTGTTGTTTTTTTTTTGTTTTTTTTCATCTGTTTTATTTGAAGGAGTCGATTTTGTGGGGTTTTTTTTTGTAGTCGTCTTGCGAAGTGAATTTGATGTGTCATTGCCGTGTAGAACATACCACAGGATTTTAGCTCTTAATAACTTACTAAGATTAATATTATCACTTTCGTAGACTATGTCCATGTTATTTAAAATTCGTAGAATTAGACAGTATGATGATTTAATTTCTAGTACAGGAAATAGAAAAATAGAATTACGTAAAGCAATCTTTAATTCATAATTATTTAAACTACAACTTTTCTATGTACGCTTTTAGAATTTTGGTGTTCGTCCTGCTTTTTTATCATAGTAGTGTCGTCTATGCTCTGTCTGTCTCTCTTCTTTTTTTAAGTTTTCTTTGTTTTTTTGTTGAAATTCTCGAGAACATCATATCCTGACTTTTCGACTTCGATTTTTTGTACTCTTTCTCTCTCTCCGTGTTTGTGTGTATGTATGCTTTAGAGAGAGGATCATAGTTTTATGGTGTTTTATTTTTATGTCTTTTAGCTACCGAAGTTTGTTTTAGTAATATTGGATGCTTCAAAAACATGACACCGTACAATAATTCTATGGGGAAACTGCCAAAATCCCCCGACTACATAAGAACCAGTTTTACCATGCACACGAGGAACAACAACACAGTACAGTTAGATTTAAGTAACCCTTTAAGCATTACTGGTTTAGGCTTCAAACCAAAGCAGCAAACTATCATTATAGTTCATGGATTCCATAGTAGAAACACCAGTGAATGGATTAAGCCTTTGGCGGACGCTTTTATGACCCAGGTACAATGTATAATATATATAAACAATTGCTATATTAGGTTCCAAAAAAAAAATCATCCCATTTTAAGTAGACCTTAGATGGTTTTTGGCTATTCGTTTTAGTCCATTTTGGTCACATACAACCTTAAGTTTATGCATCTTTGGATTCAAAACTTTGATTGTGAGTTTTTACGGATGAAGGTAAATTCAAAAAGCGTTTCAAATGTACAAAGGGCTCTTCTTATTTACTATTACAAATAATAAGAAAAATCTACTAGAATTAATTTGGGTTTTCTTCTTATGACCCTTTTTGGTCATATTGCTCACGACGTTTACACGTATTTATGCATTCCTGGCCACCGTTTCACAAAGCCTTCTTAACTTACGATCATCGTATCATTTTACGATCCGTTTACGTGTGGTTCTACGTTCCCGTTACGTGTGTTTCACAAAGGCATCGTAAAGGACTACTAAGTTGATCGCAAGTTACGCACTGTGTATCATCGTAAGTGTATCGTAAAACGGAGCTCTGTAAACAGGAGGTGTGAATCGTAGTTTATTTACATCGGAATATGGCACAATCTTCCTTCATAGATCGATGAGTCGAGTATGCCGATGAGAGCGGACGTGAAAATGTTTGCAGAGAGAAACCTTCAACATCATTGAAATTGTTTTGCCAAATTGGTTTCATGGATAAATATTGTTATCCTTACATCTTACATTTTATGTTTTGGGTCTATTTTGTTGTTGAGGAAAGTTTCTGCAGATATTTTCAGGTTTGTTTGAGACATGTAGTCAGATGGAATCCATTAGTAGTTTCCATGTGGGAAACTATCAGACCAATCTATTTGTTGTTTGAGGGTTTTAACTGTTGTTCCCCTAATGGATCGGTAGTTTCTTTCCGAAATGCTTTATCGTAGGATTTTCGGCTTTCCTCTACCAGCAATACAGCTGGGCATTTAGCGGTATTGGTTTGGAATCCAAGTATGTCCTTTCAGGTTTCTCGTTCGTTGCCTTGGCATTTGTGCGGCATCTGGGGTGACCTTATCCTTTATTTTGTATATAATTGTTTTTATATTTTGAATTTTTATATTTTTGAGGACGAGCGAATCAGGTGAGTGGGTGTGTTCGTATGTTTTTCATTTGTAGACGAAACACAAGCCTTATATCTTTGATGGGTTACTTCCTTTGATATTCAATAATAGTTTTTTTTTCTTTGTATCGGAAATTTGAAATAATAAGAGAGTGACGAGATGTGTTTATATCTGTTCAAAGGATTAAACGAATTTTTTAACAATTATTTGATAATGTCTAAAGTTATTATAGTACTGCAACTTTAGAGGAGATATGATTGATTGATTGCTGTTCTTAACGTACAGTGGCAAATATTTCATGCAGATTTATGACCAAGAGAAGAATTTATTTTCAAACAAGAAATAAGAAGTTCCATGCGTTGTCGTTGAAAAGGAATTAAAAAAAAGTCCAATAAAAATAAACAAAACCAGTGTATATAATGTGCGAATCCTGAAATACCATTTTCACTGTATCCGTTATGAACTTCTAACGTAGAATGATAAATAAACAGACGACAAATTCATGATTTTTGAATAGAATAAGAAATAAGATATGATGTGTACTGTTTTTATAAATTCGTGATATAGGTATGAGATGCGGACGAGTTTTCATCGCGCCTACAGCCATCCAGGTGTAAAATTAATACACAAATAGATAAATATTAAGAATAGTTCACGAACAGAGTGTGCAACCGATTTAAAAGCAGCAGTTAAGTTTCATTTGCAGAAAAATGTACCTTTTAACATAATTATTAATGTTGTATAACTTAAAACAAGTTTTGTTATTCAGCTTGTTGATATTGAATTAAATTCCACTATGCTGTTTTCGTTATGCGATTCCTGTTTACTGTCGAATAATGATACTAGACTTTCATTTTCACTGTAGGGGCGATTCATTTCTATTGTACATGCGATGCATTTCACGGAAGGAAATTAATTAATTTTCATCACATAACGTCTTAATTCAGCCGACTCTCTAACAAAATTTATGAAGTCAGAAGGATTGATTATATGTGACCCGCCACGACATTTCCAGGCTTATGGAGGTAGAACATCATTGTGAGAAAAACGCCGTTAACTATATGTGACTAGCCACTTCCAGGCTTATGAGGGTACATTGTCTAAAATTTGCTTTTTGTATATTTATCTAGAACATTCTGAAGCAAAAAAAACTCTGTCATGTTATTATGACGTATTTTTTGTAATAACAATGAAACGAGTCATTTCGAATACCGACATGATATTGAGACTGTTCGATGACGAACTTTTCATTATCGAAGACACTAATTTATAAAATACAAAATTATTGTATTTTATTGGAGCTTAGTAATCTTCAACAGCGTATTTGAATAAAAATTTCAAACGAATTAAATTTACAACATTACAAACAGTTCTTAGCTCTATTTTAGAAAATGTAATTTAAACTTGTTAAAATGAAGTTAGTATAAAATTTGTCAAAGAAAGTTTTTAGAATTCCTTTTTTTTAATTTGTCTTTTAACTTAGATTTATGATGCATGTCTCTATACATAGTATGCGACGCGTAGTAGTTTATTAGTAGTTGTTCTCATATATGCATTTGATACGGTGCATTTATTATGGATATATTTTAGACTCCATTTATGAAAATCTATAGAGCAGAGAATTTTGATTTTTTGTATCAATTTAAAATGTAGATTCAAATATTTATATGTTGTTGATACAGACAAAAAGATCTATCATGTCAAAATCATGATACAATAGGAAATTTTCATATGCACGGTCTGAACACAAGAATTTACAGAATAAACCTATTTCTTACTGAATAGAGAAAGATGGCTAAAAGAATTACAGAATACAGAAATGTAAACCCCCACCCCCTTTTTTCCCTAATCCAGACCCCTCATATATCATTGTGACGGATAGTTTTGTTTGTTATATTTAACTGTTTTTATTTTCGAAAAGAATATTTGTACAAGGTGTTGTTAATAAATGTAACGGACAATATATACCATGCCCTCTAAGCCGACGTCGTAATTTCATTTTAATGAAAGAAAGTATTCAAAAGCTTCTCTCCCTGTGCAATATGATTTATTAAACTCATTAGGCAGAGCAATTTTTATGACTACTTGCATAATTGTTTAATCGTATTAAATTCTGTATCAAATTTATATTAATAATAAAAGTTTCAGATCTTTAATATTGAAAAATTATTTACTTGCATTAGTATTGATATAAAAACATCCAGTTCGTTTTTTTGTGTTTTTTTTTTGTAGATAAAAAAAAGCGAATACATATGTTCAAACTCTTTTAGGTCATTTTTTAGTAGCAACAAACAAAAGAACTATGTCAATTGGACATGCTTTGATACTATATCTGCCCTTGAATTTTTACTTGATAACATTTTTGTTCACTTTGGAGATTCCGTATATCGTCAAGTTATCGGAATTCCAATGGGGACTAACTGTGCACCACTTATTGCGGACCTGTTTTTGTACTGTTATGAGTTACAATTTATGACTAAAATCAGCAAAGACCCATCGAAACAACATCTGATACAAAAATTTAACAATACTTTTAGATATTTGGATGATATATTGGCTCTCAATAATGACGACTTCAGTATGTATACTAAAGAAATTTATCCTGTTGAACTTACTTTAAATAAAGCTAATACTAACAATGACCACTGTCCTTTCCTCGATCTTGATATCTATATCATTAACGGGAAGCACAATACAAAAAATTATGATAAAAGAGATGATTTTTCATTTCCTATCGTTAATTATTCATTTTTAGATGGTGACGTTCCCTTGTCACCATCTTATGGTGTTTATATATCTCAACTTGTACAATTCGCTTGTGTATGTAACAACGTATTAGATTTCAGCGAGAGAAATTTATGTATTACTGAAAACTTATTACACCAGGGTTTTCGATATCATAAATTAGTCAAAACATTTACTAAATTTTATCATCGGTATAAGGACATCTTTCCTAAATATAACTCAACATGCAGACATCTTATACGTTCGGGCGTTTCACATCCAATCTTTTATGGTAATATTCTTTACAAAGCACAAAAATGTCAGTATTCACCTCAAAAGTTAACAAAACATTTAAACAGACTTATTAAGAAGGGATATAGTACCGATACTGTTGTCAGGTCATTAAAGATTGCATATTTTGGCTTCAACATTGATTCACTTATAGGGTCTTTGCATCGGAATTAAACACATTTATTCTAAAACCAGTTGTTGGCATGATACGGGTTATGTTACCTATTCTGACATCGGACTCGGACTCGGACTTCTTTTAAACTGAGTTTTACTGTGCGTACTGTTGTGCGTTTGTTTTTTCTACATTTGCTAGAGGTATAGGGGGAGGGTTGAGATCTCAAAAAACATGTTTAACCCCGCCGCAATTTTGCGCCTGTCCCAAGTCAGGAGCCTCTGGTCTTTGTTAGTCTTGTATCATTTTTAATTTAAGTTTCCTGTGTATAATTTGGAGTTTAGTATGACGTCCATTATCACTGAACTAGTATACATATTTGTTTAGGGGGCCAGCTGAAGGACGCCTCCGGGTGCGGGAGTCTCTCGCTGCATTGAAGACCCATTGGTGGCCTTCGGCTGTTGTCTGCTATATGGTCGGGTCTCTTTGACACATTCCCCATTTCCATTCTCAATTTTATCTGTTACACTAAAACAATTGACTAATTAAAATTGTCACATGGTGTCTTCTTATGTCGTCTGAATTACAATGTAAGATATTGATCTGTAGTTTAAATATTCGCGATCCGTAATTATTATCTAAAATGTTTATTTGGCATGCCATTCTCGATAGAAGTGCGGACGTGAAAGAAAGCACTCTTCACAAAAACGTGAACGGATTTATAAAACGTCATTTATAAAACATAATACGTGAATCTGAAGATAGAAGTTGTATTAAAATTGAATGTTGACACCGATATCGACCTGTTGGATGTAGAATTTATTTTCAAAATAGGTGTTTGTTTAGAATATACCATTCCACGGAGATTACATGCTTAACAAATCTCTGCAGTTTTCAACTTTGTTTAGTTTTCAAGACTGATATGATTTGGAATAAATTACCATTTAACAAAATTATTTATGATAACCTTAAAAACAAAATTATTTATGGTAACCTTATAATTAAATTGAACTCATAACACACTTTATGTTGTGCTAAATATTTAGTCTTGCTTGGTCTTCTATCCGTTAACGGGAATTACAGGTTTACGAAGAAAACATTATGACGGCCGGTACGATCACTATCGTTGTGCAATAGGCCCCTATGTACTAAACTTTATAAAAATTAAAAATATAGATGATAAAGAAATATAAAAATCTCAGATATAAGTATATAAACTACGGGTATATAACTCGAAGTCGTTAGTTTTGCTTTGTTACGGTGGGATAAATCAGTGTCATAAAATAGGCGCTTTACCGGAGAACCAGTGAGTAGAGCAAAGCTAACAAAACCTGCGTTTCAGGAGTAAGTGCATGGGACCTATTTGTATCATGTTTTATATCTGGTTCTATTGCCAATGTTATTTCATTGATACTGTGTCTATCCAGTCTGTATCTGGATATAATATCCATTTCATTTTCAAAATGATCAAATGAAGAAAGTGTGGTTCTAATATTGACTATTCTTCTTCGTCTTCTAACATTTGCGGCATCTTGATCGAGAATAAAGCCATCTTAGATATGATTTAATTCATATTCGCGGAAAAACTACGATCGAGATACGACTGGGTATAGCTGTAGTAAGTTACGCCAGGATTTACGTATTATTTACGCTCATCTTAACTTACGACGGCTTTGTAAAACGGCTGTAAAACCTACGATTTATTTACGATGAACGTACGATGACACGTAGACTTACGAAGGCTTTGTGAAACGGTACCCTGGTCTTAAAATGTTTGGGTTTTATCGTTCCTGATGACGGTAAATCCAGAAAAGGCCTCCGAATAAACGAAATTAATAAAGTATTATTTTCATTTACTAATTATTGTTCCCAAAATTTTCATCTTTTTTATTTTTTTTCTGAAATATTTTTCAGGGTGAAATGAACATTATTGTAGTTGATTGGTCCGGAGGTGCATTTGATCCTTATGACCAAGCCGTCGCCAATACACGTGTTGTTGGGGCTGTTATTGCTGAATTAGTTAAAGTGCTCCACAACTTAACAAATACAGAGTATTCTAATATTTATCTAGTAGGCCATAGTCTGGGGGCGCATATCTGTGGATATGCTGGTGAAAGGCTGCCAGGTCTTGGAAGGATTACAGGTACAATATAAAAATTATATTTTCATTTAAATGTATTGAATTGATTTCAATGCCTGAAAATGAAATTTGGGGGCCTTTGTTCTTATTTCTGAATCTTAAGTGTATGTGTGTGAACTGTTGCTCGTCTTTTCGTCTTTTTTCACGCATGATATGTACTGTCTTTCTTCGACTTAATGAAATATTTTACTATCCCCATATTATAGTGTTTTTTTTTAAATATGGAAAGAATGCTATGCTTTTGGGATTCATAGAGAAAAACATATGCTATATAACACTTCAAGACAATATATTGCAGGAAATAATCGATTCAGTTCTTTAACTTTTAGCTATTCTATTCATTTAAGTTAATTTGACCTTACTCCTAAAATACGTGTATCCGACAAATGGGAGACACTCACAGACACAAATAAAGTTAAGTTTAAACAATAAATCAATTCATATTTTTTTTCGCTGAACTAGTATACATTATTGTTTAGGAGCCAGCTGAAGCCCACCTCCGGGTGCGGGATTTTCTCGCTGAATACCCATTGGTGGCCTGGGCTGTTTTCTGCTCTTTGGTCGGGTTGTTATCTCTTTGACACATTCCCCGTTTCCACTCTCAATTTTCTTCTATATGTTAAAACATATGGGAACTGAAAAGCTACAATATCATATAACATAATGTCACTTTATATATTACATGTATGTCGATTGAAAAATTAAAAAATGTGCAAATTTTGGTAGTAAAATCGTTTGATAGTTTTAACTTTAATTCACCCTTCACATCTCATCTATTCATTTTATTCGAATACCATCTAGAATTTGAAATATCATTTTTAGCTTCTCGAAAAATCACAAATAAAATCCATAATGTCTCTTATTGACCGAACTATCTATCGATATACCAAACTATTCTGTAAAAAAAGTAATACACGTATTCTTTCTTATGGATGGAAAGGAAAATAACGAAAAAACTTTTCAAAATGATTTTTACATCACATTAGTAGTAAGTGACTTTGAACTAGCTTTCAGTAGCTGCGAGTAATCTGTGTTTTTTAGTTGTTTTTGTGTTTCGTAACAATCATTTGAGTTAATCAATTTCCAACTGATTTTTACAGTTTGTTTTTATGTTGTGTTGTTACACCACTGTCCACGGTTAGTGTGTTGAGTACTCACAAACATGTTTTACACTGCCATGCTATTCATGTGTCTATCCCAAAGTCAAGAGTCTTTAATGCAGTGTTTGTCGTTAGTTCATGTCTGTTTGTTTTTGATATTATTTTGGTTTTAAATAGGCCCTTAGTTGTCGCGTTTTAATTGTATCACATTTTGTCATGTCGGGGCCTTTTAAGGATGTTCGCTCCTCTTGTTTTTGAAATTTTGCCAGATATTCGGAATCCTCTGGTTTTATCCATGCAGTTCCATTAGAGAAATTTTGCCCACTAACCCCTACTTTTTTTTTCATAATTTTTTTACATATAGTTCAAAAGGCCATATTTGAAAATCTTATAAAATCCTTGTTATTTTTTCGTAGTTTTTGAAAGGAAGAAAGGTCCCAATGTTTAATATATGAAAAGTCTAGAGAGAATCGTTTCCCGCCAAATTTTCAATGGCTATTATCTAGAAAACAAGGACACAGACCCTTCATTTTTTTCTGCTTTTTTAGTTCTTTTATTTATATACTATCAATTTATAACAGTCTTTTAAAAAGCTTGTTATTTTGAAACAGAGTAGCGAACATCCTTAAAGCTGACTTCACGGTACTGGTTCTGCACTTTGTCAAAGGCCGTACGGTGAACTATAGTTGCTTACATCCACGTCATCTAAACTCTGACGGATAGCTGATTCATTTGCAATCATTTCGCATAGCCTTTAATTCTGTTTATATTATAAGGATATCATGTGTAACGTCACTATTTACATGTACCAATGCATCATGGGATAAATTCGTCAAGGGTAAACTCACGACCACCAGGCAAGTTGCATGTATTTATTATTTCTAACCATGTCAGTAATATTTGTATGTTTCAGGTTTGGACCCTGCAGGGCCATTCTTTCAATACGTTGATTCTGCTGTTAGAATAGATTCGACAGATGCAGACTTTGTAGATATAATCCACACAGATGGAAGCAGTAAGTTAGCACTTTTCGAACATGTATTAAAGCATGATATCAAACCACACTTATCTGGATTGACTAGTATTAATAGTACTACTTGTCTAATATACCAGAAATATCTTTTAACGCCGTTTTTGTTTGTTTGTTTGAATAATTTTTAAATTTTCAATTGGTCAAAATCTTGCGCTGTCCTTTGAATTTTTATTTTCTAATGTAGTTCCACATTCATAACTTTTGGGTTTTTTTCTGTTAAAACTTGACAAATTTTTCAACGACTTACCAAATTACAAACATTTTGGTTTATACGTTCGAAATGTCAAATATTTGTGAAAGAATAGTAGCGTGTTGATTAATACAACGAAGTTAAATAGCTTCAATCAGATGTCTGTATTTTTAACCATGAGTAAGTTTTAATGTAACGATCATATAAAGCTAAGTGAAGATAACAAAGAGGAGACTCAGGATAATGTTTATCATAAACAAATATGAAGTCACATATGGAGCAGCATCTGCTTACCTTTCCGAAGCACCTGCGATTTTTGTGTTGTGTTTTGTAAACTGTTGTCTTTTTTGTTTCTTCATTATGGTATACCAATGTTCGTCCGTCTATCCGTCAACACTTCGTACGATAACTCAAGTTCGCTTTAACCAATTTTCACATAACTTTTACACAACATTAGAATTGACAAAAGAAAACTCCCTTTCGTTTTTTTAACTTTTGACTTTGTCATTCCAGAGTTACGGAACTTTGACCCTTAGATTTAAGGCTATTTTTTACTAATCGTGCACTAACTCCAGTATTCCTTAGATTATTTTCTCCAAACTTTACATTATTGTGAGGATTGAAGAAAGGAAGATCCCTGGCTTTTTTTTCTATTTTTCGGTTTATCGTTCCAGAGTTACGGAACTTTAACTTTTACATTACAGGCAATTTTTCAGAAATTGGACAGTATTCCTGGAGTGATTTCCTCTAAACTTTACATTATTGTGGGCATTTCTGAAAGGAAGCTCCCTTTTGGGTTTTTTAAAGCTGCCGGTTAGTTGCTCCAGAGTTATTGGACTTTAATTGTCAGATCTTTGTAATTTTTTCACATTACTTGAGTTTGCTTGAATTGATTTAGTGGAAACTTTGCATACTTGGAACTGGTTAACATAACAACAATTTCAATATGCACCATTCGGGCGTATCATGCGCTCTTAGCGCAGCTATTTAATTGCCATGGCATTGTCTGTCAGTTTTTGCCTTATGGGCATGATTATCCCATTGGTATCTTTCGCTTCTCTTTTAAACAAATTGAGTCATTGGCATTTCATATAAAAGTTTAATTGTATAAATTCTTTCAGGATATGGTTTGAAAGAAGCTGTTGGTGATGTTGATTTTTATCCAAATGGTGGTGCGCACCAGCCGGCATGCCTCTCAGATCGTACGTTATCTGTTCATTTGTTCATACATAATCGTTGTTCTGTTTAAAAAAAAATGACCAAAAATTATGATTTGTATATGCTGTCTTCAGAAAATAGGGATTAACACTAATGGGTACTAAAATTACAAAACCAGACACCGACAGCCACTCTATTGACGAAAAGTAACATATATCATACGAAAATACTACTAGCTTGATTTGTTCATCAACACCACGCGTCTCTATGACTAAAGATTAAAGTTATACTCGCAATCCATTGGAGTGCTGACAAAAACAAATCCTGATGAACAAGAAAAATAATAAGATAACAACAACCAGAAGTGCGCATGCCTATTGTCATTGAAAGGAATTAAAATATAAAAAATAACTTGAATTGCCAATGATAGTAAAAACTTGTATTGCAAGATGATAGACAGAGAAAACACTCTTTAATTATTACTTTTAAAGAACATGTTATGTCATATCAATAACACATGTTTTGAAAATAAAAGGATAGGAACAAGACGATTGGGTAAACGACAATGAAATACGCAAACGACAAAAAACCAACACAAGACAATAAGGCATCCAGAGGTTTATATATCAACCGTATACTTACTGACAAACATTATTTAGTTTTAGATGTGTTCCTTTTTTTCAGATTTAGATCCATCAATAGCGTGCAGTCATGTCAGAGCTATTTATTACTTTATTGAGTCTATAAATCCATCATGTCATTATAAATCATTTCCATGTAAAACAAAAGATGATTTCCTTTCCGATAAATGCAATTCCTGCGGAAGTGGATGTCAAGAAATGGGATATAAGGCACATAGGAACACTTCAGGAACATTTTATCTTAAAACTAGATGGCATTATCCGTACTGCTCAAAAAACGTATAACATGAAGTTCTTCATAAAAAATAAATTAGTGTTTGTATTTTGAAATGTTGAAAGTAATATTAGTTTACATCATTTTGTTATATGCAAAAACTGCTTGTTGTAAATTATCTATTTAAACATGAAATATCACCGAAACACTAACCAATCATCAAAATAAAAAGAACACAAGAACACTCCGAAATATCCAAACATACATTCAAAAGATCAACAGACCGAACTATCCCAACAGTCGTTGAAATAAAAACTCAAATGATTCGCAACCATTTCAAAATTGTCCCTTTGAAATTCGTGTCAACACCAGCGATTTCCACAGTAAAGAAATGATGGGTGGCTATTTAAGGTCCAGTGACACATATTTCATTCATCTTAAGAACGATGTTATGTATGCGACATATTTGTAAATGTAATCTACTTTGGGCTTGACCTTTTCACAGAGCGTCACTGTGCATATTACAATCCTACCCGGGTTGAATGATACCATTAGGGCAACCAGTCTTTGCTGTTACTCATAAATGTCAAGTGCTTGGGATGCACCGAATACAATATTTCAAGACTTTGATTCGACCAGGACTGAGTTTGACAGTACAAAACCACGCTCTCATGGTGAGCATGCCACCACGAGACTTTCCTCATACAAGAAAGGATACCAAAAATAATTATTCTCCAAATGAAAAAAGAAAGTCATTGCAGTTAATAAACTTATTTAATTGCTGCAAGGTATTGCATTCAGGTAGCGCATCCTGTTCTGTTGCCAAAAGAAAAATGGAAAATAAAACAAAGGAACGCTATTTATTAGTATACCCATTAACACAAAGCTCCAATTGATTAAGAATCAAAGGATACCGAAATATTATATGTAATCTTTGGTATTGGAGACAACATATTGAAAAATCGTATAGAAAATCACAAAAATAATTGGTATGTAGTATCAAACACTCATACGAGTCAATACATATTACTATTTGGTTTGTAGTATCAAATGCTCATACAAGTCAATAAATATTACTATTTGGTTTGTAGTATCAAATGCTCATACAAGTCAATAAATATTACAATTTGGTTTGTAGTATCAAATGCTCATACAAGTCAATAAATATTCTAACATAGCAGTAATTTAATATAACACGTGTATAACTTATGCCGTTTTTATTTAGGGAGCTACCATTTGATTTTTATGGGTGGGGGGGGGGGGGGGGGGGGGGGGGGGGCTAGGATGAAATTTGAAAAAAAGGCAGGACAGGAGTTTTGAGTAAAAAAAAAGGCAGGATGAGCAACTTGGCAGGATGACAATTTATGTAAAAAAAGTCAGGATAAACTAATAAAAAAAAGGCAGGACCGAATAGAGTAAAAAAAATAAAAAGGCAGGACAGAGATTACAGCTAAAAAAAAAATGCAGGACAAAATTTTTCATCCTAGCCCCCCATAAAAATAAATGGTAGCTCCATTAACACAAACACAATCTTCACGCAACTGTCTGCTGTTGTATCGTATTTTGAATATGTGTACCAACACATCATAAATTCATAAAAATCAACATTAAAGAGAAATAACATAGAGAGTCAATTGATATTTTCAGTTTTATCAACTTTTTTGTCAATCACTTTTGTTGTTTACAGTTTCTGTTTTTACCTGTTATACTTTTCAAAAGGATAAGCAAACATTTGTAAAAGTTGTATTCATGCTATGGCAATAACTGCTATAAGAAATCAGTTGATATTTTGCCGTATAGTGTAGGTTAACGAATATTCAAGTTGTCTCACAGGACGACTTCTGATATCATCTTGTTTTTGAACACAATTTTATTTCTCGAAATATCTGATTAGTTTGATGCAACAGACAGATTCATAACATGGATTTTTTCCTAGTCATGAACTGTTTTCGCGTAAAGAACGGAAACAACTTAGTCGGATAAAAGTGGGGAATATCATTCACAGTGCTCCTAAAAAGTCTCTTATATTTTTTTTTAAATACAGGTGAATTATTCCATGTATTTGCAAAGCTTGAAGGCACAATGTGCATGTTTGAATTAAAGTTATTGATATATTATCAAAGGATTTATTTTACCGTAAAAACAGTATTGCTTAAGAGAGTGTCCTCATTAAAAGAAATACTTACTAGATTTGAGAAAAATTGAACCTTGCAAATGCGCTCATATACGACACTTAAATAAAAATAAAGATATATGTATGAACATAGAATACTGTAAGACTATCTTATTAGATCGAATGGATGGTAGGTAATACAAGCATATAGCATTAGATCTAGGATTAGTTTATTAAATATGTCGTAAGGTTAACTTAAGAGCCTAAACAATCTATTTTTTAGGATTTCCCAAAGTAGTTCAGTAGAAAGGGATGACGATATGATGTAAAACATTTATTTATTGTTAACCTTTTTATTAGAGCGTGGCGGATCCAAAATATTTGTATTAAAAAAAGTCGGGAGGAGAAACAGGCTGTGGAAATATCAAGATCTTCCTTCTTAAACTAAAAGGGACACTGAAAATTTTGATTCTTGTGTTTAGCTCAGATCGGAATCCAGTCTTAATTCAACATTCGTTCCTCAAATCCAATCTGACGACATACATTTGTAATAAAGAAAAATTCCAAATCCACGGCCAATTCTAATCCCTTATATTCGAAGACCATTTTTACCTTCTTAAATGTAAGTCCAGTTCTTTGATTCTTTAACTGACTAATGTTTCCTGCGTATTGCAATAACTTCGTAGTTGCAGTGTAATTGAAGATTCGAACACCCAATACAAATATATTGAATTCAATCGGAGACTTCGCGACTTAAAAAAAGTCATTTGTGACAAATTCGGTAGACTATTATCAATACAAATTTTACAGCTTTGTTTCATAATTTTAACACATAGTTTATACAAGTAATGGAATTTTTTTTTTCGCTTACTTTTTGGTAATTAACAAATTGAAATTATATCATAAATAAACCTTATCTGATTCTTTACTATGATTATATCTTTTCATCTTATTACTATATTCTAATTATTTAGCTTCTTTGTTACATTTGATTTTGTCTTGCTGTCTTGACCTATCAATTTCTAAATCATGAACTAAGTATAGGTTAGATAATACTTGGTCATGTTTTTATGAATATTTAAAGCCCGAGGCCTAGCCGTGGGTTTCAAATGTTCATAAAACATGACCAAGCATTGTCTGACTAATTTAGAACATATTCACACCTTCGAATGACATAACAAAATTATCCTCTCCCATTGTAACAATCAAACCTTAATATGAGCTCACTTTAAGTGTTAACAAAAAAAAAAAAAGCAAAAAAAGTTATATTAATCAGCTTTTCTAAAACTGTACAATATTAAACAATTACAAAACGTCATCAATAAATCTTAAAATTACAATCGTTTCAACATCAGATGCATACTTCTTTATTGATGAAGGTATTGGTTTTTTCTCCAAACATTCCTTTGATTTTTTTATCAACAGTCATTATGTTTTTAAAAAAAATATTGATTTGAAGGCTTTGAAAATTAAACTAAATATTATTTTACCGACATCTTTGCTCCTTTTCAATTCCTTTTTAAGGGGGGGGGGGGGGGTGTCTATATATGTACTATTATATAACGGATTAATCTTTGTATGCATATGTCTAGTAGCTTGTATTTCATGCATTTTAATGACGTCAAAATGATAATTTGAACATATAGCTTGCGTTGTACTAGACAGACAAATTGATTTTGATTTAAACGTGCTAGCTCAAGAGGTAACAGTCCACAGGAAGATATATCACATTACTCAGATACATTTTTCAAACTCCAAGTCGGCAAGTCTATGTTTATACTTCCAAATGCTGCTTGTGCATGCTTGGCGAAAAAAACAGCAAAGCTAGTTTTAAAGTCTTTGGTTTAACCAGTGACCCCCTAATCTCTAATTTTCCTGGTAATGGACCTATTATTGAATTTTATAGTTGAGAACAACTTTATTAAATTAAATGTACTTGCATTAATTTTGATTGATTGTTGATGTTAATTTACGTTCAGAACTCTTGGCTATATCATAGCGCCTAGTTTTTATTTGTCGAGGAAGCCGGAGTACATTTAGAGAAGCACCTATCTTCGGTAGGAAACTACCAGTCCTAGTAAATTAGGATAGGAGTCCTACGCACCTGCCACGATTGGGAATCGTACATACAACCTCAGTGTTGACAGGTAGTAATAACTTTAGATGAACTACTTAGACCACTTGACCATCGAGTCCCTAAATGTACTTGAAGATAAAAATACCAAGGACAAATTTGAGCTTTAAATATACCGGTTTAGACGTTGCTACTGTATATGAAAAAAAGTCATGTTTGTGACAATTTAGGAACAATGTTATCAATACAATAAATATCAATTATTACTATTCCACTTCTTCATTCTTTAATCAACGTCTTTATCAGTGTTTATTCCGGCCTTAAACCATTGTTGTGACGTCAGCCTATTCATTTACCGTGGATTCTTTTTCTAGAATCAACGCTTCCTAAATCTGCCGCTGAAATTGACTCACCAAATTATTTTCAATTGTTTCCTTTGTGTGTCTTATTCAATTAAGTTTTAATTGGCTAACTAACCGATTTCTGTTCACCAATGGAATTAATTTGAAAACTTACCTTTAATCTTTGTAATTTGTATATGCCTTCACTGGGAATCGAACCCTTCCTTGAAATCTGTTATGAATGACTGACATCAACACATCGATGAAACCTCTCGGCTACCAATGGGTTACAACTTAGATGTCTATTTTATATATATAAATGAACATCGGACACACAGGGGATGTACCTTTATATATACACAATGGGCGGTCGTATAGTATAAGTTGGTAGCCGGGAGGTTAGCATGCTTATTGCGAACCCAATGAAAGTTTTCCACAGTGCCATCTCTATCTTGACCAGGTATTTAAACTTTTGAAAGTTCACCTGTCCTATTGAATAAATACAATAGCTATTGTTCTCTGTGTAGTTTATTCTCTGGGACCTTTAAATTTCTTCTAAGAGAAATCTATCATTCATTGATTAAATTACCTGAGTAAAAAAAAATTCTTATATATAGACAAAAATACTTTTTTTATACTCATTAATTGCGTGTGATGATGTATTTATTCAATATTAATAATATATTTTCATTCAGTTTAATATAAACATTGATTCAATCATAAAAAGTTAATTTCTAACAAAAGTTTTATCAATGTTCCTATTGAAATTTGATTTTTTTTTTGTTTAGTTATAGAATACATTTAAGAAGATCTTAATTTGAAACATCATTATTTTCAAGTTCTTATTCATGTCAAACAATCTTTTTTTTAAAAGGAACAATGTTGAAAGTTTTGTCAGAAATCAACTTTTTATGATTGAATCAATGTTTATATTAAACTGAATGAAAATATATTATTAATATTGAATAACTACATCATCACACCCAGTTAATGAGTATAAAAAAAGTATTTTTGTCTACATATAAGATCATTTTTTTACTCAGGTGATTTAATCAATGAATGATAGATTTCTCTTAGAAGAAATTTAAAGGTCCCAGAGAATAAACTACACAGAGAACAATAGCTATTGTATTTATTCAATAGGACAGGTGAACTTGCAAAAGTTTAAATACCTGGTCAAGATAGAGATGGCACTGTGGAAAACTTTCATTGGGTTCGCAATAAAATCAACGAGTTAAAAGATAGGGATTTGTCGGTTTAGGTTCGAATCCCAGTATTATCTCTGTTGTCCCAATTCTGTTTTTTCTTTTTTTTTCTAATTTTGCATGTTATAGTGGATATTTTTGTAATAATAGCGAATTTACCGTTTATGTTTTGGATTATTATTGGCTATTTCACATGTTTGAAACAAAAATGATTACATTCTATTTGTCCATTTTTGTTGTATAAATATAGTATGATTTCTTCTGTTTTACTACATAATTTTACAAATGTTTGTTCGCAAATTCCTATGCGAGAAAAATCGTGATGTGCCTTGAGTGCTAGAAATTTCGGTGATATACTTATTATATATACTTTATATATGCTCTTTGGTCGGGTTGTTGTCTCTTTGACACATTCCCCATTTCCATTCTCAATTTAATTAGAAATAAATTCGAATATGTCTTATTTTGTAAAAACAGATAATATTCAGATGCCTGATAATATAAAGATCTTTAAAGGTAGAAGGGTTATATTTGTATTTTGTTAACCAATTAATTGTGATCTGAGATTTATCAATGCATCGTTGGACACGATAACATGGTTATTTAAACTCACTTACAATACCTTCTAATTAAGAAAAAGGCTTTAATTTTGAAAAGAAATAAACACAATAGTTTAAGTTATAGATACAATGGATAAGCGTAGATTCATGAAAAATAAACCATTCGCCCTCCGGGCTCATGGTTTCTTTTTCAAGAATCCACGCTTATCCATTGTATCTATATAACTTATAACACTGACATCATAGTTTTGGGGTGTGGGTTTTTGCTAGATGATGAAGACATCACTGGGACTTTGAGATAAAAAAAAAAACAGCACTAAAAGCGCGGTTGTTTTGCTTTTGGTTATTCCATGTACCGGAGGCATTTTATGTAATGAATTGATACAGCACGTCCTTTCATTTCCAATGCATGGTTATTCTTTCTATAGCTATCTATACAATCATGTCAGCAAAATTATCTTTCTCGGGTATTTCAGACATAAGAAGGCTTCAACCTAGTTAATTACAGTTTAATCACTTTCTGTGTTTTATCATTTCGTTTTAAAATAAAACAAATACTCTTTTCTATCTAGAAATATCACCTTATATTTCATTTTAACTTTGACTTATCTTGATAATTAAGTAATTTCCTGCGTATCAGAAATCCGTTAAATTATATGTTGTTAAAATAGATTTCGATATAATGTTCTTTCAAATGGGATGTAAGATAAGATACTGCCAAAGTTTAATGAAAAGGATAATTTTGATACTGACTTAACAATTCTTTATTACAAGAAATTAACCATAACCACATTGCAAGATTAAATTTCTTGTTTATAAGAAACTGAAAAAAATACAACAAAAACGCTTGTATCATGTGATTCTTTATCACTCCGCAGTTAATTGCAATGGATAGGAACTTTGTTTTGTATACCATTGTTGTTTGCTGTGTTTTGTTGATGATTGTTGTCTTACCGTCCGTAGCTGATGAATGTAGTGGGAACAGTTGTAGAAATATGATTTCAATGCCATTAATGGATGACATGAAAGCTACATTAAAGGCGGATTTAGATGTTTCAAATATAAACAATCATTTGAAAGCATACATTGAACAAGAGATACGGAAAAGCGTTGAAACAGCCATGAAAGATGTAATGAGACAGCTGATTGATAACAAACTTCAAGAGGCCAATGCAACAATAGAAGCGACGATTCTTGAAGAGCTTAAAAAAAGTAAGTTATTTATCTTAGTTTAATTCTGTTTTATATTTTTTTTCATTTGAATATTTTGAATATGTCAATGTTTTAATTCTGTAATGATATTTTAAGGAAAACTCCTTTTAAATGATGTATTGTCATTCTTGCAAGGATTGTTCTATTTGAACATCGTCAGTACATTTTGAATATAAACAAAAAAGATAAAAAAAATACTTAGAAAATTGCATCTATAGTTACTTCAAACAGAGCTCGATCACGTGAAATAAGAATTTCCTTTTTACTACTATATGACAACTAGAACATCCATTAAATATACACTTTGCACTATTCATTTAGTTAAGATACGAAATAGAATTAAAAAAAATAAGTGGAAAGTCTGAGCGAAAAATTACAAGGTTCTCCAAATCAATTATGAGTCCTTTTATTCAAGACTTTCATTCCAGACTAAAAGGTGAATGTTCATCGTTCTTATATTTAAAAAAGGCGTCTGTAATTCAGTGGTTGTCAATGTTTGCTCTCTGCTATACTTGCTTTTCAATTAATGTTGTGTTTTAAATCAGACCTTCCTTTTTTCCGTTTGAACTTTTTGACATATTTGTCATGTCGAGGCCTTTCATAGCTGTTTATACGTTATGGGATTTGCGCAGTGTCGAAGGTTGTACGGTGACCTACAGTTGTGTCCGGATAAGGTGACATGTCTTCCTGCTCGATGGCCGAGTGGTGTAAGTAGTTCAACTGCTGTACCACTAGCCTGTCAACACTGAAGTTTTGAGTTCAAGCCCTTTATGTGGCAGATGCATTTGAATCCAATATTAATTGACTAAGTTTGCCAGATTTCCTGTCAAAGGTCGGTGGTTCTTTCTGAGTACTGTGGCTTCCTCAAACAATAAAAAATGATCGCCAAGATATAGCCAATAGTGCTAAAGGTGGCGTTAAATCACCAAAAAAAATCAATCAATAAAGCCATCGGTGCTACAGATCTGACAACATTGACATGGTCAATTTGTATAAGCTACATTCAAATGCTCTTTCCCTCCACTGTGATATAGCAACTCGACGGATGCCACTTGTAGAGCATGAACTAATAACCTTTAAGAAGCACATGGGTTTACTCCGAGTATTTTAATAGGGTTTGTGTTGCGTTTGATTTTTTCAAAACCAATCAAAGATACCAAGTTTATAATATGGTACGCAAGACACCCGATTCGTCTTCAAAATACTCATTAATGGCGCTCGAATAAAAACAGTTAGAATGCCAAATAAGTAAAAAGATTCAAAAGCAATGAAAACCAAAATTTTCAAGGAGTATCTCAACCCGGTTAAGGCCGTATATGACTAGGGTTATAATGGTAGATGTAAAATCTGTGTCTTGAAAGGCTGTCACATCTGTTAAGATTTATGTTTAGAAAACATAACTGTATAATGCTGTATGGATTTGGAAATGTTTAAGATTTAGACGAAAAAATATCCGTTTTTGTATGATGCCGAATCATCAGATATGACTAATCAAATGATTTTGACCAGAGTAATATAGTGGGGATCACTTGTGGATTTAGAATTGTTGAACTTTTCAGAGAACCAAATTTCATTTGAATTTTTGATTGGTTCTGTGTTGTTACTCAATCTTTATTTTCCTGTGCAGTATATTGTGGATTGTTGTTTTGATCATTGTTTTATGTTTTTTTCATCTTATGGTTTTTGATTGCCTCTAATGTATTTTCTTCTCTTGCTTATATCATTACTTATTGTGCGGGTGAAATATGTTTGATATAATTCGAGATGATTTATCAAATACTTTCACTTTAAATTCATAACTTACTTGAATATAAAAGAAAAGACAACAGATACCTAACGGACATTGAAAACCCATAAGCAGATAAAAACTGAAAACGCCATGGCACAAAAAAAAGCCTAAAAAAAACCCCGAAAACCCGAAAAAAGTCTACATAATATAGAAACCAAAGATTGAGCAACACCACAAAAACAGTATAATGTACGGAAGAGTTTGTTAACACGTTTAAGCCCTATTACTGTTTTCAATAATCTGTAGAGTTTTAAGTATTCCTTCTTCAATAATCCTTTCCCCCGAATATGACTTACCGAATTAGACTAAGCACCAGGTAGTACTAACATGAGCAACACGACGGGTGCCATATATGGAGCAGGCTTTGTTTACCCGTCCGGAGAACCTAAGATCATCCCCGGTTTTTCGTGCTTGGGGTTAGTGTACAGTCTTTATTTTCTATGTTGTGTTTCGTGTACTGTTTTTGTCTTATGGTCTTTTCATTTTTTTGCCATTGCGTTGTCAGTTTATTTTCAGCTGATGAGTAAATCTCCCTTTTGTATCTTTCGTCTCTCTTTCATTAGCTCTAGTATACACGTAAGTGTTATTTCCGATTGAACGTGATTGTACATTTATGGTAACTGTGCTTTAATAATTTCTAACAGGAATTGGTGTTACCTATGTTAGATGGGGAAGAAAAAGTTGTCCTGATGGTGCTGAACTGGTTTATACAGGTAGATCGTTTATTATAAAAAATTGCACCCTTGACTATTCATTTAGCGCAAAGTGTTACAGTCTGTAATCATGGCTTTAAAACGTTTAACTTGATTTTGTTTTTCGATTGCTCTTTCTTTTACCACAATTACCGTGATGTTTAATCGAGTGGTGTTTTTTTTATTCTGGTTGCATTATTCTTATCAACTTTTTTTAAAACTTTACTGTTTACTATTGATCTAAATTACATTGAACAATACTGTATCAAATCCAAATATAAGACCAACAACATCAAAACCTGTAAATATTTGATAAAAGATGCTTTACAAACCAAATGTTGTAGTTTAAAATTTAACTGCAACAGGAGCAATGATTGTCTCAGTTAAGTAATAATATGAACAGTACCAATTATATTGCCTCATAATCAAATGTTTTATACGACTATAGTATACCATTTGCGGGTTGATATATGTCGTTGAAACCAAGGGCAGACCCAAGAAACTGATGTGCATCCATTTATCTGCATTCTGCTTAAGACATATTATATCAACATTTCAATCAATTTCTATGGCAGTTTTCATTACGGAAAAAAATATATCACAGCATTAACATTTAACTTGAACTGAACATCTTGGTGTAGAAACAGCCATGGTCATCGTGACTACGTCTTACCTTCACTTCATGATAGTGACTTTCTAAATTTTATGCTGATGTTGGTTAACGGCAATCCCCATTACATATTCCATTCCAAATAAATGAAAAAATATACAGCCATTATCTTGGATATTGCTCTCTACAAAATTATCAGATATTTTGGCATTGAAAACACTTAATGCTATCATCTAACACATGTCTGTACCGACAAAGTTCTTGTTGCTATTAATTTTTGAAATACTCCTAATTATAATCTAATTTTGTTATATCATACATATACCATGAATATTGCAACTGAAATATTCACCTACATACACTTGATACAGAATTCAATATAAACGACTTAAAACCTTCTGAGTGTATCTACGAAAGTTCGAACTCATATATTAGAATAATGGATGATTTGTGGTATATGTTAGTGGGAAAGCACCCAACGTTCAATATAAGTTAAACCATCTTGAGAGTCACACTCTCCTGCTGACCACGGTACAACTGGTTACCTTAACATTGTCAATACTAATCTTTACGGAATATATAGGCCAAAATGCCGAATAACCGTAAATATAAAAAAGAAGATGTGGTATGATTGCCAATGAGACAACTCTCCACAAGAGACCAAATGACACAGAAATTAACAACTATAGGTCACCGTACGACCTTCAACAATGAGCAAAGCCCATACCGCACAGTCAGCTATAAAAGGCCCCGAAATGACAATGTAAAACAATTCAAACGAGAAAACTAACGGCCTAATTTATGTACAAAAAATGAACGAAAAACAAATATGCAACACATAAACAAACGACAACCACTGAATTACAGGCTCCTGAAATGGGACATGCACATACATACAGAATATGGCAGGGTTAAACATGTTAGCGGGATCCCAACCCTCCCCCTAACCTGGGACAGTGGTGTGACAGTACAACATAAGAACGAAATATAATCAAAGTACTGAAGTACTGAACATCGGATGACCACAAGTTCTTGAGGATGGTCAAAAGCACTTGTCTCAGAAAAAAACAACATATCTCTTTACCTGAAACTGAGGTTAATGTACAGAGATATATTTTTTTCTGAGACAAGTTCGTGCGTGGATGATGAATAAATGACAGGAAATTCAACTTCACCGTAATAACTATTATATTGTAGTGATACAAATCAGTATACATGGTGGACACTTTTCTGTAAAAATTCGATTTTTCTAAGATTGGATACGAGTAGGCATTCATATTTTCCCGCAAAAACAATTACAGAGTTACCGGTCCTCGCAAAAAGTTCTCTGAGATATTCTTCCGCATGCTTTAACACAATTTTTCGGTACGTCTGCATTGATATTATCATTGATTTTGTACTTATATATATATATCTAACTACAAAACATTTTCATATTATTAATTTATGTTGTAAACAAAAATATTTTTATCAGTATTCATTGAAGAGATGTATTTATATCAAACGATAATGAATGTTATTTTGCATTCGTTTATGTGCGCATATTTATCATGTTTATAGATCGGTTACAAACCCAAAACTAATTTACATAATGGAAATCTAGGCGATAACAATACATCTGAATGACCCCAAGGTCATCGCGATGTAAAAATCAGTTGAAAGAGGCTTAAATCATCAGATGGATAAAAATACAAATATTACAAATACAAGTGGACGTGGCCGGGTACTTGTATATACAAACAACAAAAAGACACTAAGTACAGAACTGAGAGTACTCGCAGTTACTGACAGCTAGTTCAAAGCAACTAACAACTAATAAAAAAAATCATGCATCTAAGACTAAATTATCAATTCGTACACATCCAACATCCAATGGATTTAGTGTAAAGAAGTCATAAACAGTCAGAGAAAAACATGACTTCATATTTGAGATAATTTCTTTAAAATCTGTGAGATAAACCAAATTCTGTATGTTCTCTTTTTTCACCCAATATAGGTTGCATTTCTGTAAATACTGACAATACAATTTCCCATAGGAACTCCTTTTACGGCTAAAACTGTACCACTTTTACTATGAAGTTTTGAAAAAAATTATATCCTAGAATGGAAAGTTCATATGCACTACAATTTTTTTCTAAGGTCAAAATATAGGGCTGTGCGGCATATTTTCAACATTTATATGCTCCGAACTTCTAACAGTTTAAACTAACACTAAATTTCTTAACTATCCCTACCTTGACTGAAGGATTTCCACATATTTCTATATAGACAATATGCATATGTATATTTACTGGGAACATTCTTAAGTTATGTCTCTACGTAAGCCTGACTCCATTTAAGGAAACATTGCTTCAAAATACTTACCGAAAAACTTCATTTAGAGAGACATCTGACAAACAACTAAAATCTATATAAAGGGGAATATAATCATGATGGACATTAATTTTAACGACTAATGGCATAATCATTATCAACTCATTCCTCTGCAAAATTTGTTTGCCGAAGAGCCGAAATACCTTGCGCCTTAATCTATAAAATGGAAGTGAAGCTTTAAAATACTAATGGCTTCTTAAGATGATTATTCGAGATAATGTATAAAACGTCTGAAAAATGATTTTCTAGTCTTTCAGAATTGAGTTAAACTTTGCGATTGTTAATACAAACCACCATTACAAAACTGGTGTGTTTTGTAACACTCATTTTTAAAAACCCAAATATCGCTAAACAATGGGTGTGGTTTTGGCACGGATGGCCTAAGCAAGATTTTGAACAACTTTTGGAAAATTTGGTTTTCGAAATTTTCTTCAACTTTGTATTTAATTTGGCCTTTTATCTGTTCTGATTAGAGCTCTACTGATGATTCTTATGAGTTGAAACGCGCGTCTGGCGTATAAGCCTGGCTCTGATGAGTTTTACAACCACTGGGCCGATGCTACTACGGGTGGACGTTTCCACCACGATGGTATCACCATTTTATGAAATATCATTGGTATGGTAATTTTCTGTTAATTCACTACAGAAATTTTTTAAATACTAAGAGTGTGTTTACCCCTTTGTAATGATGACCTAATTCAGAATCGGCACAAGTTTTTTGAAATTTGGTTTTTAATGTTTTTCAACTTCGTATGTGATTTTGCCCTCCAACTGTTTTGATTCGACAGCCACTGAGGATTCATATGGTGATGAAACGCGCGTCTGACGTACTAAATTATAATCCTAGTATCTTCGTTTAGTTTTGCTTCTATGGAAATTTTAAAAAAGATAGGTTCCTAGACAATGATGCTAACAAATATCGTTTTCATACGTAAATAACATAATATAAACTCCTTGATAAAGGAATTCGGTATGGATAATTTACTTGGAAAACCATGAGATACTCAGACGACACATACAAAAGATGAAATCCTGAGCAATCATAAGTCTGTTTTCCATTTGTATGTTCCTTTGTCATTTCAATAAAAGATGAAAAACTGCATCTTCCGTCACTCTTCTCACTTAATATACAAATAACATATGTTCAAAAAACAACGATTAAAAATATGGCTAAAGTTTATATAAATTTTTTTTCAGGAATGGACTACTCATATTTTGTCAAAATCTGTTCTTTTGCAAACAATATTCACAACTCTAGAACATAGGCGATCGATTAATTTACGGTATAGACATTTGTCTAATATTGATAACCGTATATTGACAAATATTTTTTTTTAAATGTGTGTTTGTTGAATTGCTACTTTATTGCTTACCCTCTCGGAGTACCTGAGATCACCTCTAGATTTTGGTGGGGTTTCTGTTGCTTAGTCTTTAGATTTCTATGTCGTGTTTTGTGTACTGTTGTTCGTCTGTTGGTCTTTTTTTCTTTTTTAACCATGGCGTTGTAAGTTTATTTTCGACTTATGAGTTTGAATGTCCCTTTTGTACATTTCGCCTTTCTTTTGTTGACGTTACCCAACATTATTGTATATGTCTGTTACTACTCAAATGAGATGTTAGAGAAGCCTATATATATTTTTGTTTTTCAAAGTTTTGATTTATTAATGGTTCATTTCATAGAAAAAAAAATGACATGATATGAAACGAACCTTTTATTCTTTAAAACTTCCTAATCAAAGTCAGTCTAACAAATTGAACGTAAAATTGGAAGAAAAAGACAAATGTTCACTGACAATGATTTACCAGAAGTAAATTGTTACGGTGACAAGGTTGATATTTACGAAGAAATTCACTTTTGGTTTATTCATATCTGCATAATCTGTCATTGTGTGCTTAATATTGTACACTTATATTTGTGTTGTTATAGGCCAAGCTAGTGGTAACTATTTCCATCATAGCGGCGGTGGAGTTAATAATCTATGTCTTCCGAATGATCCAGAAAATGGAGAACATCAACCATTTGCAAATTCTCAGATTTTTGGAGCTGAGTATATGATACATGCAAGAAGGAAGCAACATGGTATGTCGGGCAATTTGGAATTCCGAGAAGTACCATGTGTTGTCTGTCGCAGGAAGCGGAGGTCTTCTGTAATTATTGTTCCTGGTAAATATGAGTGCAATTATAGTAATATGAGAACAAAAATAACAATCGAAGGCTTATACAATGAAAACATCGAGGGTGGATATCGTAATGGTGTATAATACGACATAACAAATAATCAGGTTTTTTCCATTCATATTCAATATTTACAAAGAAGGCGTGATTTACTAACCGATTCAGTATAAGTGGTTCTTTCTCCTGATGCTCTGATAATTATCAATAGTTACTGGCCTCTCACAAGTCCGATTTTACAATCTTGACACCTGTTGGGAGTGTTTTTGCTTTCTTAAGCGATAGTTTTCTACAGACATCTGTGGCTACATTAATCTATTTTCTTGGAGGAGTCAAGTGTTCATGGTTGGTGAGGTCTGTTGTACTGTCCAATGCGTTTGGTAATTCCTGATGTCCTTTTTATAGAATATTGTACAGTAAAACATTCCTATCACAATGATTTGCCTCTTTATAAACGAAAACAAATTGAACCAGTGCCGTGACGTCAGCCTATTCATTAACGGTGGTTTAATTTTCTAGAATCTCTTGCTGAAATGGACTCACCAAATTATTTGCAATTAGTTCCTTTGTGTGCTTCATTTCATTAAATTTGCTGCATTGGCTAATTTACTGATTTCACTTAACTACTGGAATTGATTTAAAAACTTACCTTTAACTTTCGTTACTTTTCTTTGCCTTCACTGGGAAACGAATCCCTCCTTGAAGTCTGTTATGTATTACTGATATCAAACACATCGACAAATCCTCTTAGCTACCAATGGGTTGCAATTTAGATTTAAATTGTATCGATAAACATAAATTAATTTTAGAATATGATACACACAGGTACAGTGAACACACACACACACACATACAGACAAACACATATACATATATAATTGATAATCGTGTAGTATGAGTTGGTAGCCGCGATGTTTAGACGAATTAGTTGTAGAGACAAAGTAAGTAGAGATTTGTCGGGTTGGTTTAGGTTAGAATCTCTGTTTTCTCTTTGTTGTTCCTTTTCTTTAGTTTTTCTTTTTTCCTTATCTTGTGTGTTATTGTTGATATTTTTTGTAAGAAGAATAAATCTTCCCGTTTATTTTTGGTTATTGGCTATTTCACGTATTTCAAAAGAAAATGATTACATTCATGTCCATTTTTTTATGCATAAAGGGTGATTTCGTCTGTTTTAATACATATCTTTATAAATGCATATTCACAAATCAATATGAGAGTAAATCGTAATGTGCATATTATCCGGTTTCTTGCTAAAAATCGGTAACACACATGAACTTAGAAATTAGTTCGAATATGCCTTATTCTGTGAATTGAGGATAATGTTCTGTCAGATACATAATAATTTAATGGACATGTCAGTACAGTATACTAGAAGTGCATGCGATTTTGTTTTTAAAATCATTTCATTATTTAAATCCTTACCTGTATACTTCTAACTATTGATTGTTTCTTGTGAATCATTCAAGATGATTATGTGATTATTAAAACTCACTGACAATACGGCCTAATTAATGAAAGAACTGTAATTTTGAATAGACATCTCAACAATAGTTTAAATAATAGGCATAACGGATAAGCGTTGGATAGTTGTATCTTTTTAACGAACCAACGCTTATCCATTGTATATATTTTATATAACAACATGCTTTCATATTCCCCATAATAAGAAAACAGATTGATATTTCATTTTTTAATACGATGCAACAAACCCAAACAGGGCCAACAGAAAGAAAAGTAGGCCAAAATCTGAACCTTGAATCAGCTATGCATGAAGGAAATACATTCTTAATCTAAAACTATTTCCATTTCTTGTTTTATAACATAGATCTACTTCTATCATGTGCGATTGTATCATAATCTTCCGAAGTCATATACCTATTAACGTTTGAAATCAGAATTATTATAGGGTTAGCAGATCTTTGAAAGGTCAACATGCGTACGTTTATCAAGGAACTTCACAATATGAAAATGATCATTTAAGAGGATATCTTTTGAAATAAATATTCATCATCAAGTTGTACTAATAGTTTTTAATGTGCAGCTTTCTACATATACATGATACAATTATATATGCTTATAGGTAGAAAAACCTGCTATAAAGACTGGAATGCTGAATACAAAGGATACTTGATGGCCGCTCATAACGATCACAAAAAGACTGATTACGCATGTGTTGATGTTAATGCCGAACCATTCGACAATAAATCATCCTATCATAGTGACGGTGTTCTCTTCTATCCAATTAGAACCAGTTGCGGTAGTTTGAGATGCCCCCCGTATAACGCAGAGGCAGACGTATATTGCGTGGTATGCTCCAAGTAAAATTACTATTATTAGACTGGTGCTACCCGAGTTTCAAATGTATCAAACTTTAAAATAAATACATTACTTACCTTCCCTACCTTATATTTTGACTTAAAATTTACGAAACAACCTTGTAGTATTTTTTTTTTAACATTTCCTCTATGTCAGGATCATCCTTTCTGGTCTATATATTTGAACGACGCCTTGAAAAAATTATCTTTAACGTACAAAGTGCAAGGAAGCAGTATCTATACGTAATAATGAAAAATATTGTGGCATCACCTAAAATTTCTGACGACAAAAAAATATTCATGTATGATCATGCATAACGTTTCTAAAATGTAATTTTATTACATGTTCAAACTTTACAGACAAAAAGGGAAACAGCATCATAACACATTGACTGTTAGTTGGAAGGCTGCAATGCGACATAACACATTGACTGTTAGTTGGAAGGCTGCAATGCGACATAACACATTGACTGTTAGTTGGAAGGCTGCAATGCGACATAACACATTGACTGTTAGTTGGAAGGCTGCAATGCGACATAACACATTGACTGTTAGTTGGAAGGCTGCAATGCCAGCTTTTAGCATCATGTATACGTAATATCCATCCGTTAGCTTTTCACATTTTGATCTCCTTGAGAACTACTGCATAAAATGAAGCCAAACACGGCAGAAATAATCCTGACATGCTTGACATGCTTCTTTCCCAGTGTTGCTACTTATGACCTTGTTCGTCAATTAACTCGGCTTCATGGCCTTTTCTAATTTTTGAATGGCTAAATCATAAACTTCAAAACCTATTTGATTGTATTTGGAATTCAACTGTTTGAGTGCCAAGTACAATTTTTATAAAGACGAAACGCGCTGACATATTAATTCACAAACTGGTATCGTTAATGAGATTCATTCCTGATAACACAATTGCAACATACGTTTACGCTCTTCGGTTCCAGCAAGTGATTGTGATAGAATTTTTTCGTGAATTTAGTGCTCAAAGTCGTGATCTGGTAGGAATTGGATGGAAATTGCCATATGAACAAAATATGAACATTTTTCATATCAGATTCAACATAGAAAAAGGTAATAATGAGTATCTTGGAACAAACGGAAGGGTTGTACTTCTTCAAAAAAAAATTAAAATAATAAAAAATACCGAATTCCAAGGGAAATTCAAAACGGAAAGTCCTTAATAAAGACAAAACCGTCTTTATTAAGGACTTTCCGTTTTGAATTTCCCTTGGAATTCGGTATTTTTTATTATTTTAATTTTTTTTTGAAACTTAGAAACTGTTTTAAAAATTATCACAAAAGTATGCAATATGAAAACTCTATATATTGGAACTATCTAGGGGTCCTTTGTGTATTTTGTTAGTAGATTGTATTGTTATATTGTGCACAGTGAGTCAAGCTCTTTCAATCAATTTTAAAGTTTGTGTTCTAGTGTTGTGCAGTTAATCCCTCCATATTCTTTATGTGCCTGTTCCAAGCCAGGAGCCTGTATTTCGGTTTCTATAAAAAATGTTATTAGCTGAAATCAAACCGTTCTTCATAGAATTGTTTCACAGGTTTTTTGTTTGTTTTTGGATCCATTAAAGCTGATATGCGATGGGAAATGCATATGATTATTCAAGATTCATCAAACAATTATAACATAAGGCTGAAATATAATAATTAATCCACTGATTTGAAGTTTCCTAATACCGTTCCGTTTGAATAAAAATGAAAGTTTTCTTCTAAGCACAAAGTGCTTGACGTTTTTGTCAGTTCTAAAGATGTAATTTTTCAAGCATCTCGCAAACTACTTTTTCGGAAAGAAAAAAAAAGGAATTTAACAATAGTTTTAATGTGAACCAGCACAATAGGGATAATGCCAATTAGTCCTAAGGTAGTAAGTTCCACGTGCATAGAGTGACAAGTTATATCCCATCTCTTGGCAGCCCTTTCCACAATGTGCGCAGTGTCCATTCTTATAATCATCCCCACTATTACATGGGTGGGACGTAAAATGGCAGTCTGAATTCACTGATTCAATGAAGTAGTAAACCGCTCTCATGTGACCACAACTGTAGAAAGGTGCTATTGCTATAAAGAAAAAGATATTTGGATATAATGATGACTTTTCTGTCATGCATACCAAAGGGTGAGTGTTACAAAAATACTAATAAACGTGGGGAATTCATATGACATTTAATGACCTGGATAAAACAAGGACCCTTCCTTAAAGTTCAGGTATTTGGATGGAATGAGAGAAACAACAAACCTTGCCAAAATTGATAAAAAAAAACAATCCAAATCACATAAATCAGAAAAAAAAGAAAAAAAAAATTGCTGGTGAATTACTGCAATTGTATTACATAAATGAATTCTATAGGGCAATACGAAATATATTTATTGGCAAAATGATATGATACACTCATTGAATTTAAAGAAAAATGATGTTATAAGATATACTATACGGTCAAAAGATATACTATACGGTCAAAAGATATACTATACGGTCAAAAGATATACTATACGGTCAAAAGATATACTATACGGTCAAAAGATATACTATACGGTCAAAAGCACATCCAGGTTGGCTTTTTCCTCCATTTGGGTAAAAATCTGCATGCCCCATACGATGTTGAAATCCCAAAACTGCAATCGAGAAAATGAAAAAAATGCAAAATATACACGCTTAGTATTTTAACAGTTAGATAGAAACAAAATGTAAAATTTAGGTTATAATGAAAGGGTGCCGTTGCATTTAAGATTCCCTATGCTATGAATATATATATCAAAATACATGTACACATTTTATGAAAATAAGAAATTAACATAGAATGAACTTTCATACTTTTAATGTTGAATTAGATCTTTTTACCCGTATTAATGACTGACACAACATACCTCCACTGCTACTTCACACTAACATTGATCATCTACCAAATTTAATATTATTAACAGTACAATTTTAATGCACTAGATGCTAATTTCGACAATTCGCCGTTTCAAAATCGTACCCCAAAAGGAAAATTGCGTCATGTCATCTTTGTTGAATTTGCAATGTATATGACATTGATAGCCCATCACAAGGTTTTTATGTACGTTTTGGAAAATATTACCAAAAATGCATAAGATTCTGAAACAGTGAAGGAGTGTCTCTTCAGTGGTGCTAGTGTTTATTACAACAAAGCTGTAGCGACACACAGGGATCACTTCTAGCGTCGTGATTCGTCGGCTGCACCATAATGAGTTATTCCTTGGAAATGGCTTAGAATTCAATGACCTTGCATATATTCTTTTACAGAACACGAAGTTGTGTACCTGCTGTTTTAGTTTCTTATTTGAGTGAATTTTGGTGTTTTCTATACCAAAAAAATGACTTAGCAATTTCTGCTTACGTAAGTCAAGAGTGTCAACCCCTTACCCCTCTAATAAAAATTTCTTTAAACTTGCACAATTTCTTCTACAGAGCAGGGGCTTCGGTGGCCGAGTGGTCTACGTAATCCAACTACTACATACCACAACGAAATAGCCAATATTGCTCAAAGTAGCGTAAAACGTCAATCAATCAATCAATCAATCTACAAAGCATGCATTTGATCATGCACCGTCTTTTTTATCCGTGTGATGTCTTGTGTTTTCAATTCCGAAACATTGATTCTGCAAAGCCTGGATATATTGATTGTTACTTGCTTATCGTCCAGTGGCAAATATTTCATGGATTTTCATTAAAAATAATTGTGGACAAAAAAAAATGTTCAAACACGGAAAATATGTTCACAACATAAGGTGATGACAACATTAATGAAAATATAAAATTGGGTTCCTTTTATACTAACAGTATTCATATAAGCTATAGCCCGTAATTAGCTATAGCATCAATATGCGCCATGGATTAATGTTTGAAATGCAGTATGAAAAGGGAATTTTTATTTTATCACTTACACAGATCTTTTACAATGGGTGTGACTTTTGAGTGCGTTAAGGCTGACATTTATCAACACGTGCTGATATATAACGATTTTTTAAAAAATGGAGGTCAGTGTATGTAATGTGCGAATCCTGAAATGTCATTTTTACTGTATCCGTGATGAATTTCTGATGTAGAATGATAAATAAACAGACGACAAATTCGTGATTTTTGAAAAAAAATAAGAAATGATATATATTGTGTACTGTTTTTATAAATTCATGATATAGGTATGAGATGCTGACGGGTTTTCATCGCGCCTAGAGCCATCCAGGTAAAAAATTGATACACAAATAGATAAATATTAAGAATAGTTCAAGAACAGAGCGTGCAAGAGATTTAAAAGTAGCAGTTAAGTTTCGTTTGCAGAAAAATGTACCTTTTAACATAGTTATTAATGTTGTTTAACTTAATACAGGTTTTGTTATTCAGCTTGTTGATATTGAATCAAATTCCACTATGCTGTTTTAATTATGCGATTCATGTTTACTGTCGAATAATGATACAGTTCATTTTCACTGTAGAGCGATTCATTTCTATTGTACATGCGATGTATTTTCACAGAAGGAAATTAATTAATTTTCGTTATATAAAGTCTTGATTCAGCCGACTCTTTAACAAAATTTATGAAGTTAGAAGGATTGCTTATTTATGGAAACTTAGTGAGTGAAAGTCTGAGGTAATATATCAATAAATTTCTTTAAAATGGTATTTATTGCTAATATAGTCAATTTTATTTTCTCTAATAATTTGTCCAGATCCAGATCTATATGTAGGATAAAATTTATCCTTTCCTATGACACGCCATCATTAAATACATATATCTTGGACAGTTAAGCCAATCCACGTCACCGAAAAAGCAAAGTTTCTGTTTCGGTCTAAATGTACATCGCATACTGATAAATTAAAACGTCATGATAGCTATTTTCCTAATGCTTGTAGTTTAAAGGTGTGGTTGGCTTGCTTGCTTTGATTGTGTAAATGTTGCCCTTAGCATTGTAATTAAGATTGAGCAAACACAAAACGATCTTCATTTCACGATTGAATGAGTGGAAACGTTTTCAATTTGCACAAACAGTTGACGCTTGGATGACTGGATAATTGATATTTATCATGTCATTTTGTATACAGTAAAGGAAGTTCGAGCAACAGTCTAGTCACCTTAAATATGTTTGAATTTCTTATAAGTCGGTGTTACAAATAAGCAAATACGCAAAGTAAGAATACAAAGAAATATTGAAAACAGTTTATTGTTACATGTTTATATGGTTTTATACCACGGGGTATAACCGCCGTACAGTTGATTGCGGACGTTAATCGTTACATCGCGATGCGATGTTGGTAGATAGACCGTTCTTATATTTTCACCAAAGAATAATTGTTGTACTGTTCAGTTAAGTATTCAATGATTATGAAAACAGCAGCATTGTATATCATTTATATTACATGAACTCCATGTGACTTTTTTAAATAGACAGGTCTGTGAATTACTTGTAAACATCGCGAAACAAACACTATGTGTAACTCAAACTTGATTAAACTACAAATAGAGCATAGTTGGTTGGCTTTTACACTGAATGCGACCGTGTGTTTAGTGCTTTGTTGTTTTTAAAATACATAATACGAATGAAAAACCCATTGTTTTAATTTTTTTGAAGACATTTACCTGAAAAAATTACCTCAGAATTTTTGGCACTGTACGATTCATTCTCTTTGTATTTTGTTTACTTTCTTTAGTACCGTTCATTGTAGATATCAATATGGTAGAAATATGTATGACACGGCGTGACAAATTTTCAAAGCTTTTTTTAAGCGAGTTCTTAAACTGTTCATCGTAGAAATACGTTAATTTCATGGATGTTCTGCTCCAGTAAATTTTCGGATCCATGACAAGCTAATAACAAACACGCAAACAATTTTTGAATATGCATGATATGAACGTGGTTATACCCGTGTATATTGAATTAAGCATCTACGACTAGCTTGCATTTTAAATTGTAAATATCACCAATATCATTTAAAGTCATTTAAAAACTATTTCCAGTTGTTGCATGTCGAATTATCATATAAAACGACAATGAAAATTCATCGCATCTCCAAAAATTCCACATCAGAAATGATTGCACTTACAGTGATAATTCATCGCATCTATAGTTAAAATGAATCGCATTCAGAAATTAATATTATGGATTCTGCTGCTTAAATTACACTTTTTTGGACTTTAATCCTGTTATTATAAATTAAAAATTTATATTCTATTGAAATTCTGATAAAACATATATTCAAATCAATTATTTTGTATTTTCAAAAAGTAAACAAACGCAGTTTTTTTCTCATCATCCTTTATTCTACAATAGACATACTCGCATACAACAGTGAAAATGAACTAACTGGATTCGCACTTTATATACACTGGAGATTGTGAGTTCGAACGCCGCACGCTGCAAGTGCGGTGCATTCGACTCTAATCTTAATTCACTAGGATTGTCAGTTTTCCTAGCTGTCGAAGGTTGGTGGTTCTCTACGGGCACTCTGGCTGCCTTCAGCAATAAAAAAAACTCACCACCACGTTGTAGCAAACATGCTGAAAGTGGCGTTAAACACCACTAATATAAAAATCAATAAAACAATGAATAAAAGTATGGAACTTGATTTTAACATTCAATCCATTTGCTAGTTCAAATCTTAAAAAAATACAAATACAAATAAAACTTCGGAGAGATTCAAACACAGGACAATCTATTTCTTCTGAGATCCGTCTAACAAAAGCGCATCGCGTCAAAATATTGGGATCATGTTTGTACAAAAGAGAGGTGGAGATATCAAAGGGATATTCAAACTCATAAGTTTAAGACAAACTGACAACTCAACTTGGGAATGATCTCAGTTGCTCCGGAAGGGTAAGCAGATCCTGCTTCACAAATAGTATTTGTCGTGTTTTTCATTATGTACAAATTCGGTAAGTACAGCATCATCAATTGAAACTGTTATATTGAATATCATATTTACTTGCGTCTGAATGAATGACATCGACAAATGTGGCATCTGAAGAGTCCAACCTTACATTATGATCCGCCCGATTAAATTCTGGACCAGCAGGGTCTAGACCTGTAAATATGAATGAAATGGAATGTGTATGAACGCTGTTATTGTCTATTATCCCTCGTTTACTATATATTTTACTCGCAAGCTCGTACAAATATACTCAACAATATTCACCATTACCGATGCAGTAACACTATAATATCAATATACTGACAATGTACAAAGATTGATAAGAAATATACAAATTAAATTCATCTGAGGAAAGATAGGCAAACTATTTGAATTCACATAAACAGGAGGTAAGGTATAATTGCCAAAGTCAACCTATCAACCAAAGACCCCCCCCCCCCCCCCCCCATAAAAAACGCGTTTGAAAATAATCACAATTCAGGTATATAATGAACCAAGAGTGATACAGTAAATTATAATCTTAGTCCTCTAGGATTTGTGTTTAGCTTTTAATCCGCAACTGTTAACCTGCTTATTAAAAAAAAAACGGTAGGGACATTCTGATGAAAAAATTCTAACTTCTGAGTTTCTAATAAGTTCCAAGTGAAATGTGAAAATCAATTAAAGACGATTGCACTCGTATAGATAAACGCACGTACGTAATTAAGGGTTCAAAATTTATAACCAGAAATGCCGAAAGGTATGTCTTACATTCTGACACAAGATAAAGTTTTATAAATATTCACCCTTATCTAGTAGACCTTTATTTCGAACTGTTACAGTAGTTCTATCAATTTTTCATGATACTAGCATTTCAATCACGCAATTAATATTTTAGAGATCCCCAATGACATCAATTATTTACTGTAAGTTGCTTGAGAACACACAAAAAATCATAGAAATACAGTAATTCAATTAGGGTTGTAACGTAAAAGAAAATGCAGTCACTCATACCATTTGCCGTACTTTGATCACGTTCAAATAAGGGGATTTGAGTTCATTTTGAACCTTTTTGTTTCTCATGGATCAATACTTTTTTTCAATAGTATTTGACTACATGCTGTCATTATGACTGAGCTCATACACCTTTAATTCTAACGGGTAGTGTTGTAAGTTTGATTTCAAATATAAAAATTAAATTAATGATTTGGTGCTGTTTTCCTCTTAACGTACCTATGTACTTTCGATGTCTTTTACAGTGTTATAACATTTAAGATTGTGAATGGAAATGGAGAATATGTCAAAGAGACAATAACCCGACCAAAGAGCAGATAACAGCCGAAGGCCAACAATGGGTCTTCAACGCAGCGAGAAAATCCCGCACCCGGAGGTGGTCCTCAGCTCGCCCCTAAATAAAAATGTGTACTAGTTCAGTGAAAATGGACCTTTATACTAAACTCCAATACACATAAATGAACTAAAATTAATAAACATACAAGACTAACAAAGGCCAGAGGCTCCTGACTTGAGACAGGCGCAAAAATTGCGGCGGGGTTAAACATGTTTTATGAGATCTCAACCCTCCCCCTATACCTCTAGCCAATGTAGAATAAAGAAACACACAGCAATATGCACAGTAAAGCCCAGTTTAAAAGAAGTCCAAGTCCGATGTCAGAATAGGTAACAAAAGAAACTAAGCAAAATGACAATGATACATAAATTAGCAAAGGACTACTAGCAGAAACTGACATGCCAGCTCCACACCTCAATTAAACTGATTGAAAGATTATATCTTCATCATATGAAAATCAAGCACAGTTCCTGCCGTTAGGGGTTAAGTATCATACCATCATTAAATATATGAGAAGAACATAACCCGTATCATGCCAACAACTGGTTTTAGAATAAATGTGTTTATTTCCTATGCAAAGACCCTATGAGTGAATAAATGTGTTTATTTCCTATGCAAAGACCCTATGAGTGAATCAATATTTATACCAAAATATGCAATCCTTAATGACCTGACAACAGTATCGTAACTATATCCCTTTTGAATAAGTCTGTTTAACAGTTTGGTTAGCTTTTGAGGTGAATACCGACATTGTTGTGCTTTGTAAAGAATATTACCATAAAAGATTTGAATGTTATATAAATTGAGCGTAAATAGGTAAATGCGTCAGTTTTGTCAACTGGCGGTTATTTTAAAAATGTGATGGACCAAAAATACAATAATACGACGACTATTTTGAATGGGCTGATTAAACATAGTTTTATATAGTTTTATTTGTTCAAAATGTCCTACCATGCTTGCCAAACCTTAACACTCATGCAAAATCCTATACATTGAAAAAGTATAGCGTTGACAAAGATATCTTTGATGACATATTTTTGAGAGAGAGAAAAAATTCTTTTGTCGATTTTACCAATATGACTTCAGAAAAACAAAAGACGAGTACCAAACTTGTTTTTTTTCTGAAATGTTCACATCTTAAGATAAACTTATTGAAATGGACAACTATTTTGAGAACTTTCATTAAATGTTGGCAAGATGGGCAGTTATCGTTCCTGTTTTTTCCAGTTATTTTTCCAGTTCGGGAAAATGAACTGCAATTTGATTTAAAAAAAAACACTTAAAACAAGCCAATTTCATAAAACATACAATGATCTTTTACATAATCAAAAATTAGCTCTAATTATTTTAAAGCAAGTTCTTTTAAATCAATGCATACTCATTAACTAAATACTTCCATGTAAATACAAACGAACAATCACTTAGTAAGCCCAAATATTTTTGGAGAAATGCTCAAAAAGATATCAACGAGGAAGGAAGAAGTAATCTGTATATAAACAACTAAGTACCTGTTATTCTACCTATGCCTGGAATTTTCTCACCAACATAACCTGCAATATGGGCACCTAAACTGTGGCCAACTAAATGTACATGGTTCAATGTCAGACCACCGGAACTGTGTAACAGTTTGACCATGTTAGCAGTAATAGCACCAACAACACGAGTGTTTGCTACAGCTTGGTTGTAATCATCATAAGCTCCTTTTGTCCAAACCACAACGATCACATTTACATTAAACTGCCAAATGAACACACAATAAAAATATTTAATCTTTAAATAGCGGAACATAGTTACATACTTTTAAAAAAGAATCATCCGTTTATGAAATATGGTTTTAGGGTCAATGTTCATTGTCAAGCAATGAATGATAGTTTCTCGTTTGCATGGTATTATTCCGTGTTTGCAGTTCTCGATTACCGTACATTTCAATCAATTCTCTGCAAGTAATTTTATAAGGTTTCTAAACATAAGCTTGCAACTCCCTTAGGCAAAGTTAAACTATAGTTTTTTTATATCTTTATTAAAAACTTTCGGATTAATTCCTCCAACAGTATGCATATATTGTTTGGCAAATCAAGATTTATGACCTAAGTGTTCCTATCGAAAATGAATTTCAGAATGCTTGTCTGGTTGATGGTGGTTGATGGAATCTGTTATACTCTCCAAAAATGTTGGTACTTCCTGTTATATCCTAATTTAGTGTTATCTTTACTTTTCTTCAGTCTCTATAAAACTGATGGTGAAGATCTGGATAGTTTCATCCACTTAATATCGAATTGATTGATTTGATATTGTTCGAAATGTATTGAATATAATTAGATAAAACTTTCATCTGTAAAATACACTTACAGGGAAGAAGGACGATATTTGAAGATATTTATTTCTGATATATGCATGTATTGACTAAATTTGCAGCCTTCCAAAAAAAAGATATATGTATCAGAAAGTTTCATCGAACGGAACAACATTTGCATGTTAGATTTCAAGAAAATAAACTGAATATATTCCCTTTTTGGAAATATTTTTATAAAATGTTAATATATTTCAAAATGAATAAGAAGATGTGGCATAAGTGCCAAGGTTAGATTTTGCAGTAGTTTCTTTCTGCTATTTAGTATTATAAGTTGATATTCCATGGTTTGTATATGGTATGAAAGCACAGAAAGCGCTTTAGATTTTATTTTCCCAAATAGTTCGAAACAGCCATACGTAAATTGGACACAGCTGTAGTTTTGAACAAAAACACACACAAATTACCTTATTGATAAATCAAGGTTTGAAAGATCACATGTTTTCACTCAACAGAGCACTGCCGTACATAAATGTCAACAAATAACAACGTCGATCACAGAGAATGCATTTACATCGTTAGGCAGACTCTACAGTATGATTGTTCTGTGAGGGGCCCAACAATACATTAATACAGTTGAAAGAGTCCAGAAAAGAGCAGCTGGTTTTATCACTTATAAATGTAGAAATTAATCAAATGCTAGTCATTATCATCTTGATTTGCAGGCCTTCTCTATCAGAAGAAAAACTATAAGGCTAAACTCTTTTACATAACAGCAAAAAGATGTAGCCAAATGACATACGAGTAAACCTACAACACACAATATTAACATACAGTAACAGCTTTCGAATATCACAATACAATGGAGTATACTTGTTGACTGGATCATAAAATCGGGCTTTGTAAACTCTCTCAGATCAAATACATCACAAGTCAGGAGCCTGTAATTCAATGGTTGTCGTTTGTTGCTGTGTATCATATTTGTTTTTCGTTCATTGTTTATGGTATGGGTTTTGCTCATTGTTGAAGGCCGTACGGTGACCGATAGTTGTTAATTTCTGTGTCATTTGGTCTCTTGTGGAGAGTTGTCTCATTGGCAATCATACCACATAGTCTTATTTTTATATTATATGAAATATTTTCATAAAAATAAAACATGTAAATAATATCATGTGTTTACATTTAATCAATAGCATATCTGTAAATATATCGCACGTCTGCCGTACACAATTATCCGCCTAGTATCTTTGATGAGTTTTAAGCTGACTCTATGATCCTCTATGTCTTTTCTTCTGAAGACATCCTGTAATTATCCCTCAATTTGTTGAAGCAGGGTTTTCAAGGTATATTTATAGAAACGATAATGATTAAAAAAAAATATTCATCAACTTACATATTTTACAAGGGCACTTGTCATAAGTTTAATCCAATTATTATCTTCTTCTCCATGGAAACCATGTATGATAAACACTGTTCTGTGTGCACCATTGAAGTGTGTCGATTTTACAGTTGATCCAGTTCCATTTGGATCCAGAAGTTGACCGTTGGTTGGATTGGCTCGTGTATACAGATGGAATGTGGTTCCAATGTGTTCTGGAGAGAGCGGGAGCGTACCAAAAGTGTTCCAGAAAGGGGCGGCATTACTGAAGCATCCAATATGACCATAACATACTTGCTTAGCTATGAAAACATGTTTAAATTAGTATATTCAACACTTATCTCTTAGACTACATTATCAGTTCTAACATTTGCTTTTTTTTAATAAATGATTTTCCAGTAATACTATGAAAACAATATCCCAGAATGCACATTACCAAAGCTCTTTATGATAAAGAATTCATCTTAATAATTGTCATCTATGACAAATACGTATGTTATGATTATGTCTCTAATCAAAGATTACGTCCAATGTTTGATAATGTTTGGTTATATACTAGGAAATAAGTATCTTACAATTCGCCGACTCGGAATCAAAAGGACTATTGGTAATTTCATTGTTCGTACCCCCAAAATGAAAATAACGTCACGTCGTTGGTTGAAATTCTATTGTTTAGGACGTTGTCAGCCAATCACAAAGTTTTGGTGTTCAGTTTTGAAAAAAATATTACCAAGAATGCATCATATTCTGAAACGGCGATATTCTACAAAATACCATGAGAAATATATATTTCATTTCTTACGCATTCCCGTTTTGAGGCTTATCATAATAATAAAAGATGAAAAATGCAAAATCAGCAAATTTGGAATTGATTATATCAAAATATCATAGTTCATGTTTTATTAAAAAATTAGTGTAGAAAAATCCATTCATAATTTCGTTTGTTGACTTACCATTCGCTACGAGCAATAGTGATGCAACAAATAGACTTACACACCACATAATGGAATGTTACGTTGTGCAGAAACGGAACAGTTAATATAAACATTATATTAGTTTAAATAGTAACTGATAAGAATATGTATCAAGTACAGGTCAGAGCGCACAGAAAGACATATCAGTGACATTCCTGTCATTTGACTACAACTATATTTATACAAATATAGATTTATTTCGTCTTCAAGCCATTGTTCCACTACTAAACTATTTATTCTACGTACTAGTACACTTGGTACAATCAAAAACTTGGTAAAAAATTGTTCAAATAAGGCCTTTGAAAATAGTGGAATTAATTACTTTTGGTGTGTCAAAATTCGTTGGAAGTACTTGATAAATTGCATGCTTATATTGGTGATTTCGAATCTGTTCAAAGTTTTGATTTTTCTACCCTATATACCACATTGCCTCATAATCTTATTAAGAAAAAATTCACACACCTGATTAAATGGGCATTTAAAAAGTCGGAATGCGAATATATATGTTCAAACTCTTTAAGGTCATTTTTTAGTAACAACAAACAAAAGAACTATGTCAATTGGGCCTGCTTTGATACTATAACTGCCCTTGAATTTTTACTAGATAACATTTTTGTTCGCTATGGAGATTCCGTATATCGTCAGGTTATCGGAATTCCCATGGGGATTAACTGTACACCACTTATTGCGGACCTGTTTCTGTATTGTTATGAGTTACAATTTATGACTAAAATCAGCAAAGACCCATCGAAACAACATCTGATTAAAAAATTTAATAACACTTTTTAGATATTTAGATGATATATTGGCTCTCAATAATGACGACTTCAGTATGTACGTTCAGGTATTTCACTTCCAATATTTTATGGTAATATTCTTTACAAAGCACAAACATGTCGGCATTCACCTCAAAAGCTAATCAAACCTTTAAACAGACTTATTCGGAAAGGATAAAGTTACGATACTGTTGTCAAGTCATTAAGGATTGCATATATTGGTATTAATATTGATTCACTGATAAGGTCTTTGCATCGAAAATAAACACATTTATTCTAAAACCAGTTGTTGGCATGATACGGGTTATGTTCTTCTCATATATTTTATGATGGTATGATACTAAACCCCTAACGAGAGGGATTGTACTTGATTTTCATATGATGAAGACATAATCTTTCAATCAGTTTAATTGAGGTCTGGAGCTGGCATGTCAGTAACCGCTAGAAGTCCTTTGTTCATTTATGTATCATAGTCATCTTGCTTAGTTTCTTTTATTACCCATTCTGACATCGGACTCGGACTTCTTTTAAACTGGGTTTTACTGTGCGTATTGCAGTGTGTTTCTTTATTCTACATTGGCTAGAGGTATAGGGGGAGGGTTGTGATCTCACAAAACATGTTTAACCCCGCCGCATTTTTGCGCCTGTTCCAAGTCAGGAGCCTCTGGCCTTTGTTAGTCTAGTATGTTTTTGTAATTTTAGTTCATTTATATGTTTTGGAGTTTAGTGTGACGTCCATTTTCACTGAACTAGCACACAATTTTAGTTAGGGGCCAGCTGAGGACCACCTCTGGGTGCGGGATTTTCTCACTGCATTGAAGACCCATTGGTGGCCTTCGGCTGTTGTCTGCTCTTTGGTCGGGTTGTTGTCACTTTGACATATTCCCCATTCCATTCTCAATTTTATTAACTTACAAACAAAGTAAAGGACAATTTGCACGTATGATTGATACATATTTCACTGCACAATCAGATTTGCGCTGCAACAAGGAAACAGAAATAGATGAGATATATAAAATTCTAAACATAAAGCTCCTGATTTAGATATTGGTCCTGTTTCATTATTTTGATTAATTAAATATCTCCTCCATTTGAAATACTACAAAAACTGTTGAACGTCATAAAAAAAACTAGTAACCTAATAGATTGAATCTGCTAAGTGTCATCAAGAATTTCAGATTAAACAAATTTTCGGAATACTTGTAGGTTAACTTACTTAACTAAGCTCTTCAAATTTCAATCCTGGTATCTATGATGAGTTTATTATAAGGTATCAATAGAAATTCATACACGGAATGCCGAGTCGAGCAACATACTTGTTAAGGCTGATTGGCGCGCTTCTACAATGAAACAGCAAATAATAATACAGACACTTCACAAAAGGGAAAACATATAACTAGGAAAATGTCAAATTTGCATTCATTAAAAATTAAAAAAAAAATAAACCAAACAAAAATATGAAACCATCTTTGTTTCGTTGATTACCACGTATCACCGGATTTTAATCCATGAACAAATGAAGAATGCTAGTGGTACATGGTTCCCTGTGTTTGGTAGGTTTCGTATAACTACAAGAAAATACGGGTGAACTCTAACGAGACAGCAACATCAGAAAAATATAACCAAACGATATCTGAATGCTTAGATACAGTCTTCAATGATATAAATGTGACCATACAAAACGCTCCAAGTCTATAAAAGATGTTAAATTAATTAAACAGACACTACCAAAGATCTACCATCAATACCAAGTTATTCTTATAACTAAAACATTAAGATAATACATTATAAGACAACCACTGCTGATAATTTTAAATTGGATCTGAATGAACTTGAAATAAAGGATACAATAGATATAGTTAAGCCTGTCTCATATCTTAACTAATATCAAGAAAATGACAAGAAGGCCGTTTGATATCTTTAAGTTATGTCAAAAGAAATACTTTTAATGTTCCTCAGTGAATGTTCAATTTCCTTGATAGAGGTCACTATTACACTAAGAGTTTCAAGTGTTTAATTCTTCCCTTCAAAAGTTTTATGGACGTCATCATGACTTGGTTGACCGTTATGGAATATCTGTGTCGCAGATGCCAACGGATATGTTCCACATGTCCGCTTTCCCACGATTGTGACTATACCGAAAGTGACTTTTCACCGTATTTTAACTTAGATGATCAACATGACGGATGCCACATGTGAATGATTAGGAGCTGAATATCCTTCCAGAACACCTGAGTGCACTACCGGTATTTGATGGGGTGGTGACAATACCGACAGTGACTTATCATTGTATTTTAACTCACATGATCAACACGACGTTTTGTTTTGTTATTGGTGTTTGTGTTTTGTCCTTTTTATCATGGGGTTGTCTGTTTTTGTTATGATTTTCATTCTTCATTCAATAGATGACCAACATCATATTTGCCCCCCCCCCCCCCCCCCCCCCCCAAGTTCTTTTTCCTATTTTTATGTGAACAAAGTTGACTTCAGGTGGCAAACTCCAAACTCAGAAATTTCGCAATTTATGAAGGCTTTGGTCGTTCTGTTAGTCAATTATTGCTACAGGTGTCCTTATACTAAATTTTTTTTTTCAACATGAAGATTTGTCAAGAAAGATCAACGAACTATACGTTTTCCTTTGGTTTTTGCACTTGTCACATAACCCAATGATTATGTACCACTAGATAATACGTAGAGTGTGGTAAACATGTCTACTCCACCTCTGCATCTGTTTCTGTTGTTGTTTGTATCACTACATAATTGACATTTATTTAATATATTTTTGTTTATGCATCTGTGATATAGTGTTCTATCGATTCCGAATTGTGAAACATGAAAATAATTGGTATCCTCCGAATGCTGCTTTATCGCATACATCTAGGGTTGTTTGACCGTGGACTTTTAAGTTGTTATTGATTGCTCTCTGCATTTGATTCTTTTTTTTTTTACAAATTTTGCTGTGATTAATCACGGGTTTGTCCATACCTGAACAATAGTCTAACATGGCACAAATTTACCCGACATAATCAGAATGAGAAAATTTGAAATATCAAGTATATTGCTAGCAATATTCTGATTGACAAATGAGCATAAACATAAAAATATAGCTCATAGTTCGCCTTGCTTTTAATACGACATTTAAAAAAAATTAAAATAACACTTTATAATTTAATGCGTCCGTAGCGCTTTTCTGGATTTATTTTCATCAGGAACGCTCAAAGCAGAATATTTTAAGCCAAGGATGTATAAGAACCGAAACAATTGAAAAGCTATTTGACACTAAAAAGACCTAAAAATAATTCAAGTAATTCGTTCAGAAAATGAAACTTCATATTTCTTTTTGCATCACGATGACTAAGATTTGTTTTTATATATTTTCAAGTACATTGTATTGGTATACTTTTATTTTTTTAAGATTGAAAGACTTACTACAAAGAAAAGATATATGTAACATTGTTTACATGCTTGTCACAGGTGTATTTTCAAATCTCAAATCAAAAAGAATAATCAATGTAAAAGTATAAAAAAAAAAAAAGGTGACACCAGCGAAAAGAAATGATGATATTTCTTGATTACATTTAGAGGAATTTCATTGGACAATTTTGTGAATTTAAGAAATTTTGATTTGGTAAGTCTCAAAAATTCCATTTAGTACTAATTGTCAGTAAAAAAAATGAACTGCAGATGTATTGCCGCTAATCTTTTTATTGCATGCAAATATTTGTCACATTCTCCAGTATTGTTATATATGCTGCTTTAAATGAGGTTTAACCGCGATGATATCGCTTGCCCGGATGTCTGATCTACAGCGCTAATCTCAAGTTCTGTGTGTCCAAATATAAAGCTTACTTGTACCAATCGTTTATCTTTTGATGGATTTGGGAAGACTATCGTTATTTTTCCTAACTCATAACAACCTTCCTCATCTGTGTACTTTGGACTGGCTTTAGAGGAACAATAAACAGGCAAGCATAAGTCGGGTTGGAATTCCCTGTTTGTACTAAGAGTAAATATAAATGTTTGTCTTATTTTGACGGTATCGTCCAGCTTGATAATCGGTGAGAATAGCTTGGTACATTTCACTCGACCATTTACACGAATCATATACTTTTTGTCATGAATTTCCTGGTTAAAATCCTCCATCGTAAATACGCCGTATGTGTACCTCATTTTTCGAGAAACTATATAATTAGGTTTGTGACCAAATAATACGGCTCCTTTTAACACAGACATTCCTGCATCCTTAGGAACAATGACTTTTATGTTATGCGAATCTTCAAATGACCGACGGACTGCATCTTGAACTAGTATGCACTCTGAGAATCCACCTACTAGTAATATCTGAGTTACTCCTGACACAGAAAGTAATATTTCTTTGATAACCATAATAATACCATTAATCGTTGGTGTAAACAGAGCCTTTATAAAAGATGCATCAATACGGACTTTGTCTTTCCACACTCTTATCTTGTCGACATATGGCGAGATGTCGAGTGCGTTTTTGAAATCTTTCTTTAGGTATTTTTCACATATATCATTTAAGCCTACAATTGGAATTGTTATGTTAACCCTGTCCTCCTTTGATGGACTAATAGTTCTCTTTAATACTTCAAATTCTCGACAAAGATCCAAAAATGTTAAAGGGTCTTCTTTCTGTAATTTTGTAACTGTTTTTGCTCCCATTATTTCTTCAAATATTTGGAGGTACGATCTGTCGACTGACGTTCCACCGCAATCATTGCCACTTGCATGATGGAGTTCTTTCAAATGACCATTGTCAAGTTTCTCTTGTATTATTATATCAGCAGTTCCTCCTGTATTGAAATGAATTCGTAATCTATTTATTCACTTTTTAATATATATTTCGAATGGAGTTTTATACGATTGTATGAAAATTATGAAAAATTTGATATTGAAGAATACATTGAATGGCTAATATTAGAGTTATGAAATAAGTCAAATGCAAATGTAGTTAGTTTACCAAGAGTTATGATTGTATGCTGATTTCGAATATTCAAAGAAATTTCATGGATTACTAAACTTATGTTAAAAGTCTCAGATAAACAGTTTGAACTATAATTATTAACTGTACAAATTAGTTTTGGGATACTAGTATGTATATTTATATTTTGGGGATTTTAACATCAGTTCATTTAACATGTTTGATGACTATGTTGAATGCATCTATCCCATCGAACTTGGTATAAAGGATACAACAGATAAAGTTAAGTCTGCATCATATGTTGACTTACATTTAGAAATTGACTAGAAAATGAGGGTCGGTTGAGAACAAATCTCTACGACAAAAGAGATGAATTCAGCTTCCCAATTGTGAACTTTCCATTTCTATGTAGCAACATTCCAGCAGCGCCTGCATATGGAATATACATATCTCCCAGTGGATACGATTTTCCAGGGCTTGCGTTTCATATCATGATTTCCTTGATAAAGGGTTGCTATTAAAGCAAGATTTCCAAGTGGTGAAGTTAAAATCATTCTTTCGAAAATGTTATGGACGCCATCACGATTTGGTTGGTCGTTACGGAATACCTGTTTCACAGATGACAACGGATATGTTCCAATCGTCGTAACTAAAATTCCGTCCTCCTTTTCCACGAATGTGACCTACCGAATTAGAGTCTGTACATACATGACCAACATGACGGATGCAACATGTGGAGCAGGATCTGCTTACCCTTCCGGAGTACCTGAGATCACCCCGGTTTTTGGTGGAGTTCTTGTTGCTCAGTCTTTAGTTTTCTATGTTGTGTATTGTATACTGTTGTTTGTTTTTTGGTCTTTTTCTATTTTGCCATGGTGTTGTCAGTTTATGTGAGACTTATGAGTTTGAGTGTCCCTTTGGTATATTTCGCCTATCTTTATTAAACGGTATCTTTAACAAAAAAATCATTGTATTCAAGGTAAGAAATGAAAAAAGACATTGGAAAGTATATGCTACGATAAAACAAAATCTTCAGTTTGTCCGATAAAAATAACACCGAATTGCAGGTGATGCATGATACCAAAAGATAACTTAATATTTTTCTACTTATTCTAGGCAAAAATGTTAGTACATTTAGCGAACTAGAGATAAAGGATACTACAGATACAGTTAAGTCTGCCTCATATCTTGACTTATATCTAGAAATTGACAATGAGGGTCGGTTGAAAACAAAACTTTACGACAAAAGAGATGATTTCAGCTTCCCAATTGTGAACTTTCCATTTCTATGTAGCAACATTCCAGCAGCGCCTGCATACGGAGTATATATCTCCCAATTGATACGATATTCCCGGGCTTGTGTTTCCTATCATGATTTCCTTGATAGAGGATTGCTGCTCACAAGGAAGCTATTAAACCAAGAGTTCCAAATGGTGAAGTTGAAGTCATTCCTTCGTACATTTTACGGACGCCATCACGAGTTGGTTGACCGTTATGGAATAACCGTTTCACAGATGATATCGGATATGTTCCTTATGTCGTAACTACAATACCTTTCCCTTTTCACGAATGTGACTTACCGAATTAGACTATTTACCGGATTTGTAATAACATAAGCAACTCGACGGGTGCCACATGTGGAGCAGGATCTGCTTACCCTTCCGGAGCACCTGAGATCACCCCCAGTTTTTGGTGGGGTTCGTGTTGCTTAGTCTTTAGTTTTCTATGTTGTGTCATCTGTACTATTATTTGTCTGTTTGTCTTTTTATTTTTGGCCATGACGTTGTCAGTTTGTTTTCGATCTATGAGTTTGACTGTCCCTCTGGTATCTTTCGTCCCTCTTTTTTAGCGACTTTTTCTAGAATAGGGGACGACCCTTTGATATTCGGGAGGATTTTTTTGTAACGGAATTTCCATTTTACCTGATTCGATCTTTTCCGAGTTAATTTTTTTTTAACTTTTATATACATTTATAGGTAGCACGGTAGTATTTCCATTCCAGAATTTAGGTGGCTCTTTTGTGTCCCCTAATTAGGTCAATGTATCTGAACAGTGTGATTGGACAAAAAATACAGTATCAACTGAACATACTTTCCCAAACTGAGGGATTAATCAGGTGTAGAAAAATATGAAATAATTTTACATACAGGTAAAAATGAATTTTTGAGAAATTTTTAAATTTTGTATTCACTGCATGATGAAAGACCTAAAAGCACTAGTGGCCTTAGGTTTTTAAAGATATCAAAAAAAGTAAATGGTCATGATACATATTCAAATTTATTTCTGAATAGTATAATGAAAGTACTTCAGTTAACTGTTTAAGTAGAATTTTTGGCAGTGTTAGAATGTGGTGAAAATTCTAAAAAGGTTATCATTATCCCTTATGGGCCAGGAAATACTACCGTGCCCCCTATATCCCTAAAACATACCAAATTGTCTTCCCCTAACGGAAACAAGCATAGCAATTAAAATTAATATTTGCAGCCAATCTCATTGGCAGAGTTTCAGTAATGAATAAGTATTCAGTTCTAATTGACCAAACTTAGTAATGAACGTGTCAATTTGATTCGCAATTCATGGATAAACTACCTAATACACTTTGATTTGAAACGATCATCATAGTAACTTATTCAGTAAAAGGACGTCATCTATATTGCGGAACATGAGCTTAAAATAGTAATGCTAGCTTTTTTCATTCTTCTTGAGACGGCCCTGTATGGAGTATACTATTTGTAAACCAAAATTCAAGCCAGAAAGATGAGAGAGAAGAGATTTCCGACTGTCTGTTATAAAACTTGTAAACCAAACGTTACAAATATGTTGTCAATAAAACAAACTTAAGCATCTTGATGTTGTCAGTTTCCAATAACTTTTGTTTGATTCACATTGTTTGTTTACATATAGTATGATTTACCCTTTCCTTAAACAAAACATTTTATTCACGTTCGTCATTTCTTTCTATAAAACAAAGTTGAAACAATTCTTTCAATCTTACTTACAGCCGATTTCATTGAGTGTGTAGGCAAAGGTAATATCTTTGGTTAGCTTGCTTGTTAGCTGAACCGTGAAGTCATTATTAGGTCAGGTATACTACCCTCCTTTAGAAGTAGACTAGTCCAACAGACAGATAGATTGGTTTTCTGTCGGACTAGTCTACTCTTAAAGGAGGGTACTTTACCTAACCTAATAATGACTTCACGGTTCAGCTAGCAAGCAAACTAACTAAAGATATTACCTTTGCCTACACACTCATTGAAATCGGCTGTAATATTACAATAAGGTATACTTTTGTAAAGGGTGCATAGTTCAAGTGTGTGTTTCACGAGAAGAGTGACATACATTGTTTGTACTCAAACAGATCTTCGGATTTTTTAGTATACAAGTGAAACAGGTGTATTGTTTTAATTGAATTTTTAGTCGCAATAGGTGTGATATAAGTATAAGTGATGATTTAAACAAACTGACTTTTGTAAAAGAGACTATTTCATACTTGACAAATAAATGATGGAGGCTATTGCTTAAGTTGGTAACGAAAAGTTTAGAAAGGATCGGTTTTTTTCAATGCCAAACGTTCTGAAATATCTTAGTGTATCTAAGACTTGCTATTATATACCATATAAGTAATCTAAGATCTGCTATATTAACACCATATAAGTAATCTAAGATTTTCTATATTAACACCATATAAGTGCATCCAATAAATCTTACTATTCATTAATATGTTTACTAGTATATATATATATATATATATATTAAAATACCTACCGCCTAGGTCAGCAACCATAAATTTTGTGCCTGTTTTGGCAATAAATTTTCCAACTGCACTTTTCTCGACTTCATTTGATGTAAAATACTGACCATATATAGAGGCTGCCTCAGGTTCAAGAGCTAAATACAGTTGATGGACTGGAATACCTGCCTAAAATAATGAATGTGATGTCGTATGTTGAGCATTCGGTAAACATGGGCTAAATTTTACAAATTTGACTACTCGAATTTCTAGCGTTTTAATGCGCCCTATAAATTGGACGAGGTGTTTAGGGTGTATTAAATATGCAACATGTAGAAACGTCTTAACAGCAACCCAATGTAAAAAGTACAGTTGTCTCGAGTTGCAAGAAAAATAGAACTTAAGGTATTTTTCCTAAGCCGACGTATAAAAATTAAGGCAGTCCTTACTATTTAAGAAATGAGCTTTCGTAGTGCTATCAATTGTAAGAAAACACTTCCTTTTCAGGTCAATGTGCTAATCATCTGAAACACCAGAAACTGATCCCTGATATCACAGGATTAACTTTTCTAAATGGCTCATTTAAACAAGTTTTCATGGACCAATCGATATATTCTATTCGGAAAAGGGTTTTCTTCTTTTCATTTTATGTTTTCAGCACATTAACTATTTAGTTTCATTGAATTCAAACAAAAACCTGACTACATTGAAGAAAAGACAATGTTTGAACAAAGAGAAGGAAAAGATATTTCTACGATAAGTCCATAATTCATAGTTTAGGGGAAAATGTGCATTCCTTAGTTACCTTGGTAGCACTTTCTTTCATAAATTCCTTTGCAGCATCTGACCAAATTGCTGGTACAGTAAGAACCCACTTAATATCATCCATCTTGAACTTGAAACCACGCGTTACTCCAAGTTTAAACAAATTATCTGCCAAGGCCTTAATGGATTTACTGAAAACTTCAATGGCTGGTATAGACTTTCCAGTAACATCTTGAAGTGCCATATCGGCTTTAACGTTCTGAAAATGAAGAAAATAATGTGTTATGGAAGACTACCTTCGGGTCATGTAATTTTGTTACACTTTGAAAAAATCATAAGTGTTGGAATATAGGTAAAAGTAAAGTAGCAAAAATAATGAACTCCAAGGAAAATTCAAAACGGAAAGTCCTTTATCAAATGGTAAAATAAAAAGCTCAAACACACCATTCGAATGGAAAACAACTGTCATATTCCTGACTTGGTACAGGCATTTCCACATGTAGAAAATGGTGGATTAAACTGGTTTTATAGCTAGCTAAACCTCTCACTTGTATGACAGTCGTAAAGAAATTCCATTATATTGACAACAAAACGAACATTAGAGTTGTAATATCACGTGGTTAATATTGTAAAGCAAACTTGTTATAGAGAACAGATAATTTATTTACTTTTCTTTTCTGTTTTCACTAAATGGGGTTTGCCTGTATTATTTTCTAATGTTTTATTTCATGAATCTTTGGCAATTTTATGTTTTCCATTTTTGTTGATTTTTATACTGTATTGGATTTTGTAACAAAGAAAACAGTACTTCTTTACAATAAGAAGACTATTTATTTTTTATTGACTTTTTCTTATTGTTTAAATTCAATACAGTTATTAATAACAGACAACAATAGGAGGGTCATTGAAACATATTTCGTAAAATAATATGATGTGAAATATTGAAAAAATTCTTTAGAATTGTCAAGATAACAAACCTTTCTATTATAAAGTTCCATCTTAAACCGATAAAAATAATAATAATCAGCTTGCTTTTTATCCAACACAATATCAGTATATTTATTTTCTGCTTCATAGCCGAAACCAGCCACATTCTTCTCGGCGTCTAAAAGTAAACACGTTGGTGTCTTCAAAGACAAAAGTTGCCTTCCGCCAGCATTCCATGATTCATTAATATAAATATCTAAGGGATTGTCATTCATATTCGCTATCATGGAGAATGCAAATCCCGAATAGGTTGTACCAAAATCCAGTGCCGCAACAAGAAGATAATTATTGTTCAGGGATTCTAAATGTAAAGACATAATTAAATAAAAAAATCGTAATATCAAACAACAATAACATCTTCATCCTAGAACTTTTGCAAAATCTCAGAATATGTAAGTCCCTACTAACTGGAAAAGGGATAACAAGTACAAAAGTAACTAACATATATATGAAGTATTTTCAATCTTAAAAGTTCCACTTAGAAATTACTTATATCATCTAATATGAATAAATAAAGGTCTTGTAAACACACCAATCAGATAGGACCTGAACACTTAAAAAAAAAAGTGCGGACGTGTGGAAATGCGTTTTATATATAAAAAGAATAGGTCAAGGTTTTTTTGACTTTCTGTTTTTATATTACTGTTAAATGTTGATTAATGGCTGTATACAAAACTTTTTTCGTGTATTATGTGCATTCTCTGCTAATTTTCTTTCTTTTTTTGTGTTTGACAGCAGAACAAAGTTTGATTGAATGTATAGATCTCAATTCTGGCACATAGTAACGTAAATTATTAGTTATTAACAGATTTAATAATGATTTTAAACGATCTGCCATAAACAATTATTCCTTAGGGAAAGAAACAATCAGATAAAAATTAGGACAAATAATAAGATCCCAACTTGGGGTATACAAATGAACATACAGAGGCGTAAAATTTGTTCTTTGAGATTTCAACCCTCCGCTATATCTTTGTTTGGTTTTTTCGAAGGGTCATTTCGTAGCAAAAATCCATTTATATCAGATTAAAAGAGAGGCCAAAGATACTAAAGGGACATTCAAACTCACAAGTCTTTTATTTGGAGGATGGCGAACAGGTGTGTCGGCAGGTAACTCTTAATCTATAAACTATATCATTTATCGGTTACATCACAAACCTTCGTAATAATCATCTGCTGACTTAGAATCCTTTCTTTTGATATTTTGAGCTGAGTTAATAGTCGTACTTGGCATCCCAGTATTAAACTCTGAAATAAAGTAACAAATATTTTACTTGACGATTTATGATTGCATCAACATTGTTTAGTTATAACAGATGGAAATTGATAACAAACTGCATTTAAGGGGGTATCATTGGTATATATTTCCTCAGATAGAATTTTCTTATACTTTGCCAGAATGTAGATTTGTTCATGCCTTTTTCAAAAATATAATAAAAAAAGGTATGGGTCACCGTGCTATTTTTCAAGTTACAAGTCGTGCAAAATTGCACAAATTTGCATAGATTGTTCATGAAAAACACTTTTTTGTAAATAAAAAGAAATCTATGAGATAGAATTTCAAATAAAATATGAGAAGATAGGTTTTAAAATATACTTTAAGAAAATAAAAATAAAAAATGGTGTCACCGACCTTGTTTTCTTGCTATAAGTAAAAATTGAAAATTTCTCTATCATTCCTTTATAAATATTTTACTATTTGAGTTATCTCTCCATAAATGGCTAAGTTGACAATTTGATACGAAAAAACACAAATATTTGGTATTTGATAAATCAGTCTGAATAATGCAATAAATCACTTATTTTCCTTTATAACAATAAACAGTCTAACATATTAATTGCCAATCTGTCTCAAAATTTGCAGATTTAAGCAAAGAACTAGACCTATTGTGAACTGCTATTTACAATTCAAGATGGCGGTATACAGTTAATCTGCCTTAAATATTTCGGTAACAAGCTAGTCAATGAAACCAACAATATGGAATATGATTGAACGATCAAACAAGAAAAAACCCAAATACAAATAAACATACGGGACAAATTATATCAACTGAATTCCAATCTGAACATGAAATGAAATCAGGTATCTTTAAATGGAGAACATTTTCTACCTCATTTGCCATATTTATCTTCGGGAATTTTGGCAAAAGTCAGTAATGAGTCAAAGTCGGTAAAAGAGAAATCGATAAAAGATCTTGAGGCACTAACAGAACTAATTCTACGCGAATTGGTTACATACGCTTTTTTTTTTTAGATCAATAGCGTTCATGACCAACCACATAAATTACAGTTGTTTCGCTTTTGAAGAGCTTCAATCTTCACAAAGTGAAATCTCTGAGAGAGTGCAATCAGTGTTGTAACTTGTAATACCTGTTAGAGTGATATTATTTTTAATCAGATACCATTGCTGCAAAATATCAATGCGGGGAATGTCGTTTACTAACCGTTGTAGAACCCAAAATATCAAACACGGTTTTGATTGTTGTTTTTAATGAGTGTAGATTTAGGTGTTTGCCTTTCGTTTACTGCTTCAAAAACTGCCGTTAAACGTCGTATACTATTATAATAATCCTGTTCGATTGCAGCTTTTTTGGTAAGTATGTAATTTCTAACCATTTATTGTATCTGTATGTTTTGTATGTTTGTAGAATTGTCTTGTCCATGTGAGTTTGTTTCGGTAAATTAATAAATTTTAGTTTCTTTTTTTTTTATATCTGATTATTTCCGTTCAGTCTATTTGCTTTGAAACTTGGTACATGTATAAAAAAAAACTGCATAAACATATTTTAATCAGATAACTACTCAAATAACTGTATTCAAAATAATATGATACATATTGTTCGTAAACCTACCAAACTCATAAAGGATACCAGGCTTATAAAGGCAATAGTAGTATACCGCTGTTCAATAGTCATAAATCGATTAAACTGAAACAAATCCGGGTCATAAACCAAAACCGAGGGAAACACATCAACTATAAGAGGATACAAAACGGAACAACAGAAACACTGAACTGCTTCAAAAACAAACGCCAACATACATAGAAACGGACTATGTGATAACAACTGCCATATTCCTGACTTGGTACAGGACATTTTAAGAAAAAATGGTGGGTTGAACCTGGTTTTATGGCTAGCCAAACCTCTCGCTTATATGGCAATGTTATAATTTATTACGCCAGACTCGAGTTTCGTTTACATACGACTCGTTGTTGGAGATCGAATCAAAACAGTTTGAAGGCCAAGTATAATACGAAGTTGAAAAGCATTGAAAACCCAAAATACCGAAAGACTGTGCCAAATACGGCTACGGCATCAGGATAGAAAACCCTTAGTATTTCTAATAATTCAAAATTTTGTAAACAGAAAATATAAAGCATAAATATTTTCGTAGGAAAACTCCTTTTGAGTTATGAATTAAAACAAAATGAATCTTACTTTTGATTAGCGTTTTTCAAATGTTAAATAAAGCACGGACATATAGCAGATTGGAAACCCATTCACCCACATTAAATTCCCACATTAAAATATACTATTATTAATTAACATATCCTCTTTTCAAAGTGTTTCCCCATTTCCAAACATGCTTTAAAAGTTTCGAAAAAGTATCTGGTAAAACAATAGAGGTACTATCTAAGTTATTTGATAGTTGGATATATTTTTTTTTAGATTTAAAGAATTTTATACATACTTAAAAGTTTTAAAAGAAATCTCGAGGGCCGCGTTATATACCAGAGTTTGGCAATTGGCCAATCGAAGATAGAAAATGTCTCTGGATATAGGCACTTTAATAAAAAAGAACCTGAAAAATGGCAACGAAAATTGAACATTAGGAACACATCCAAACATTTGAAAGTAAACAATTTACAAAAATTGTTGTAAAAGAGGGTCGATATGAACAATTTACAAAATTTTCAACGAATGGGTTATTAGTATTTCTTTTTTTTTTAAATTGCGCATTCTGATTAACAAGATTTTCGTCATACGAGGTTAAAGGACAATTAGTATTGCTCCAAAACACTCAAACATTTTTTTTTAGATCAACTCACTTGGTTCATTTTGGGGTTTTTCTGTATCTCTTTGTCCAGACTTTTCACTGTCCTTTTCAATAAGTTTTTCTTGTTCTTTTTCTTTTGATTTGTTTCGCTTAATGATTTTCGCCAATGTCAGTTTAAATCCTTTCGTCTTTTCACCATTACCATCCTCTTGGTTGTGTACTTTTAGTCTTTCTGTTTGTTTTTTATTTGTCTGTTCTATA